TTTTTTGTGTATCGTTCTGAAATAGTGAAAAAATATAATTTTTCTCTCATATTTTCTTATTGTGTATCTTGATATTTTAAGGGTCTTACGCGCTTAAAATCCCAACACTCCCTCCATCCCATAAATAATACTCAGTATCACAATTCACTTTTTAAAAACTATGAAACTTTTGTTTAATTAATGGGAAAAATTATTTGAAATAATCACACTTTTTCGTGCTTTTTTCAAAAATAATCTCACTTTTTACTGTCACCGTAAATAATCTCACCTTTTCACATGTGTGCGAGTTTTGAGTCACTGTTAAAAAAACTAATGGTCATTTAACAGAATTTTTAGAAAATGCATGTTTTTCGCAAATAAATGAAAGGTGAGATTATTTTTGGTAAATTCTTTTTTTTTGTTTTTTTTAATTTTCAACATCAAAAAAAATGTATTTTTTAAAAAATGTTCTTATAAATAATACTCTGCCAAATTTAAGTATTTTTTAGAGCGAAACTAATTATTTTTTTCAATAATCAATAATATAGTAATAATTGAATAATAAATTATTCTACACAATGAAACTAAATTATTTACTTCATAGCTCACTACATTTTTTTGTGAGTTACAATTATTTTTTTTGAGTGACATTTCGAATTGTTTTTTGATATTGTATTATTATTACTTCATAACTCACTAGTGTATTATTCAACTACTACTTTTACCATTCACTCCCTACCATAACCATTTAGTATTCATCATCTTCTCAAGCTCTTCCTTCTTATTAATTGTTCTTTTGTTAATTGATAACTCGATCAATTAAACATAATTTCATTAAAACATAATTTCGCTATTTATAGTAGTCACAAGTTGTAGGGGTGTATACGAATCGAATCGAAGCAAATATATCAATATTCAATTCGTATTCGATTAAAGTGATATGTATTCATATTCGGATTTGTATATAATTCGAATTTTAAAAAACATTCGTATTCGATTCGATAGATATTTGGCGTATTTGAATTCGTATTCAAATTCGAAAATATTAGAAATTTTTTTCTTAAAATAGATTTCTTAAAGACATTAAATTATTATTTTATAATAATGTAAAATGTAGTAAAAATATGTTAGAATATATATAAATTTATTTATAAATTATAATATTCAAATATATATATAAAATTATATGTACACAAAAATTTAATATGTTAAAATATGTACACAAATATTTAAAATATTAGAATATATATGAAAAATTTTATAAATTATAATATTCGAATAATTCGAATAATAAACGAATCGAATCTATTAATATTTGTATTCGGATTCGAAAATAATTCGAATCTAAAACACAATTTGTATTCGGATTCGAATTTGAATATAGCGAATACGAATCATCCTTTTCGAATACGAATCACGAATCGAATACATTTTATTTAATTTGTATGCACCCCTAGTTACTCACAAGTCCCACAACATTATGATCTAAGTACTAGCCCATCAATAGGCTCGTTATTACTAAATCTTAATACATATCCAAACAAAAAGAAAACTAGATATGGCGAAGAGATTTCCTCCATAACCTAAGCCAAAGAGCGACACCTAATATCTTCTTTGGGTATATTTTAACTCAATCGCACCTTGATTCGCTATAGCAAGAGTTTCCTTAAGTGGTGGGAATATATTTCATCACTTAAAGAAACTCTTACGATAGCGAATCAAGGTGCGATTGGGTTAAAATATACCCAAAGAAGATATTAGGTGTCGCTCTTTGACTTAGGTTATGGAGGAAATCTCTTCGCCACATCTAGTTTTCTTTTTGTTTGGATATGTATTAAGATTTAGTAATAACGAGCCTATTGATGGGCTAGTACTTAGATCATGATGTTGTGGGACTTGTGCCTACTATGAATAGCGAAATTATGTTTAATGAAATCATTCAATTTAGTTCATTTATAATAAAAAATTTTACATGGTGTTGGAACAAATCCTGGGCACTTGAAACCCTATTTGGTCGATTCGAATTAGTCATTTTGCTTGTCTAGTTCTGATTATTGTATTGAAATACCGTCTAATCTGTCAGGGATTTAAAGAGATTGTTAATCTGTGTAGTCGTCATTTTATTTCAATTCGTCGCTCAAATCGCACTATTGTTGGGACCGTGCATACGCAGCTTGCCACTCTTACCCATATGAAGTGAGATCTGATATCACATCTTGGACCGTGCGTGCCCTGACCTCCACCTCACATTAGTATGATATTATTCGCTCTATGCTGCCTACAGACCTTCGGTTATGTTGTCACATCGGACACATCGAGAACTTTACACACAATGCACTCTGCCACTCTTGCCCATACGAAGTGGGCTCCGATTCGATACCATATGTTAGACCGTGTTTGTCCTTACCTCAACCTCACATTAGTATAATATTGTCCGCTCTGTACCACATGCAGACCTTTGGATCATGTTGTCACATCAAACACATAGAGAACTCCACACATAATGCAGCCTACCACTCTTGCCTGTACGAAGTGGTCTCCGATACCACATATTAGACTGTGCGTGTCCTCACCTCAATCCCACATCAATATGCTATTGTCTGCTCTAGGTCAAGCCCCCACGAACTTATTTTTGGACTTCTCCAAAAAACCTTATACTAATATGCCGGGTTCTGTTCGTACTCCGTAGAAGAAGGTTTTTAAGTCTGGTATTTCGTCCATCTAGTTTTGATGATATAGTATTTAATTTGGTTGTGTTTTGGTATATATGTTTGGTCACAACCAACCATATGTTCGACATGTTAATTTATATGGTGGTCACGCAATCGCATCTAAGTCCGGCAACACTCTGTCCTTCTTTGGGACGCTGGTTAGCTGTGATAAAATTTAGGATGAGGAAAAAGGTAACTGTATTGGGCCAAAAGATATTGAATCCAATCGACTGCTTAGTTTAACTTTGGAGCTTATATACCAATTACTTTTCTATTCAATCTCCGATGTGGGATAGTTTAACAGTCGTCCATGTATCACCGTGCGCGTGGGAGTCATTCATCATCAAGTTGTTGGTTGTTTGTTTGCTCGGCCACTCGTTTTCGTCCGTTGTCGCAACATCAAATTAAGTCTAGTTTTTTGAAGTTTTAGGTTTATTTTTCGTTATCCAGATTGTTTATTCATGATCCTCATTTTCATCTTGAGTTGAGTGTTAAATCATATATGGTCTTGTAGCTATTATAAATAGTGAGTTTATGTACGTTTAAAGAAATCATTCAATTCTATTCACTTATAATAAAACTCTATACTTTTTTAATTGGTTGTTGTTTGCCTCTCCACCTTAGCAATAAAATTGCACTTCCTCCGTCTTGATCAATGAATCTCTACTTTTTTTAGTTTGTCTTGAAATAATTGTCATACTTCTTTACTTACCTAATAAAATAAAAAAATATGTGGTACATAATTTTAATTTTCTCTTTCTTTTAAACAAATTTTAGTCGTCTATTTTTATTAGAGTGCTGCCATATCCACACCCATCATGTCTAAATCCACTATGTTTATGTAAAATGGAAAAATTTACCCTTAAAATTTGACTAACATATACTATCTCTTCTATGGTTTTTTAGTGAGGGCTTAATCAATGCTTATTTTTGAGGGTTTAATCATGTGACAACAATTTAATTTACAAGGGGATGGTTGGTGCAAATTAGCGAGGACTTGACCAACACTAAAATTTACATGGGCCAGATTGTTTAGCCACGGCCTTGGCTCCGACGCAAGTTCAAGGCATCGACTTTTACCTTAATGTGAGGGCCTTTGACCCATATGTAAAAGCAACATATTTTAGTAGTGTAGACATAATAGGGATGGATATACGAACACTTTTTTTAATACAACACTTTTCTTAAAATCTATAAATTTAAAACAAGAGAACTAATCGAGAGAAAGAGAGTTTTTTATTTCTTTTTTTTTTGAAAAAATAATCCTTTGTACACAATAATAAAACCTAGTAAATAAATTGATCAAAATAAAGTAAATAGCTACTTCAGGGTTGTTCGGTCTTTCCTTCTACGAAGTATAATATGGCCCGGTTGGAAAGGTAATGAGTGTAAAAGGGTAAGTTTCGAATTCGATTTCGAATAACCGCGCAAGGAGGATGGTATGCATAGAGCCTCAACAAGCACCAGGTGCAGATTTCACTCTTGACGAGTCACTCTATGATTAAAGGCTAAAGCTCAACTTACCTACTCTCAGGTTACTGTTCGGCCAATTTGAGGGGGCTCTCAAGAATATGGCTCATCATTTTTGTTCTATAATAATCTGTACGTAATTCATCCGACATCCGCAAGCTCCGTAGAAAAATGATTTATAGAATTTTTTTTCCTATCACTATTTATGTTACCAAACGTAATCATTTAGAATTAACATTTAAGAAAAAGTGCGTGCTTTTCATTCAAACTAAACATAACCTACAATGCGAGTGTCTATTAGTTTTTTAGCACTAGTAATTCTATTATGGCTATAGTATTTATTTATACATACTTTCTCAATATGGAGAGAAGGTATATGGTACAACCGGCTGTATCTAGAAATAAGTATATTCAGGTAGTACTCATTCTTGCACAAACATAACTACTCATTTTGAAATAGCGTGACACCCAACGTAGTATTTATTCTGAAATAACGTAATACTCATTTTCACACATTTATTTTATACAATTATAATATTCGATCATCTATGAATAACGTAGTGTTCATTCTGAAACAGAGTGGTAATCATTCTCAAATAAAATAATGTTCATTCTCCACTAACAGCGACTAAGCTTCTAGATCAGCGACTTCCCCCATAAACCCCACCAATGGGTTCGATCTGGTATACAATCACCTTTCTCACTATCACCATCACTTTTGCCACCGTCATCTTCACCATCATCTTCACCGTTCTGCTCCCCGCCCACCAATTGCTATGTACTATCTTCATTTTCCAATTAGACGCACTTAGGATTTGACTCGATTGCGCTGTTCTTAATAGCTAATTTTCACCGGCTGTACGGTTCTTCACGTAGAGCCGGCCTTAATAATTTGCCCAATATGGAGTGTCTTTGGTGATACTCCGTAATAGCCACAAATCCACAATCATGAGTTCAGGGCAAACCTCTTCCTCTTGTCCGAAATTCCTACTGAAAATTGAAAAGGAGCAATAAAAAATCCAAAACCCCCATTAAAATGCTCATCTGGAAATGGTTTCCAAAACCCTAATCTCATGCCCAATTTTCGCGCCACCGGTTCCATCACACCACCACCGGCCCGCCACCTCCGTTGGCTTTTCTCGGTGGAACAACGCCAACGCCGAGAAGTTCAATCGACATGAGCGGACCCTGAAGGAAATCGAAGACGATATCCGCTTCCACAAGCGGCACAACGCCGCCTTCAACATCATCAACAATTACAATCCTGCCCCTCCTTCTCCGGTCACTGAAACTTTCAAATCCATCGGAACCCCTTCTGATCCTTCCAAGCCATCAATTCCAGGTAAGAAATCGAAATACTCAAAGCCTTACAGGAATTCTGGGGACCCTCACCCGGCCTTTGGGCCCCCAATTGTTCGTTTTAGGAAGATCCCAGATGTGAGCGAAAGATCAAACATTGACGGTGACAGTGATGTAGCTGAGCCCACCCAAGAATCAAACAGGAAGGTCAGTGTAACTGAAAATGGTGTCACCTACGAGTTCTCAGAAGCTCCATTCCCTTATCAGTATAGTTACACTGAGACACCAAAGGCAAAGCCTTTGAAGCTTAGGGAGCCATTAGTAATGCCATTTGAGCCAACAACTATGGCAAGACCATGGACTGGGCGAAAGCCGCTTCCTCCGAGCAAGAAGAAGTTACCGGAATTTGATTCTTTTAAGCTGCCTCCGCCCCATAAGAAGGGAGTGAAGCCAGTCCAAGCTCCGGGTCCTTTCTTGCCAGGGACTGGACCAAAGTATGTGACTTCTCGAGAAGACATTTTGGGGGAGCCCTTGACGAAAGAGGAAATTGAGGCGCATGTTAATAGCTGTAAGAAAACAAAGCGGCAACTGAATATGGGTATGTGAATTAAAACAGAGGTAAAATTTTATATTGAGTGCTTCTTCTATGTAGTCATACAGACATGCTGGTTTTTACAGAGAATTAATTATAATGTGGATCGTGGACTAGCCTTATTTTCCTAAATTATTATTAGAATGTCAAATTATAAAGATGTGATGGTTATCTTACAAAGTATGTTAATTACGGTGTAATAAGTGTGTGACAACTGAGCATTAGTATGCGAATTAATAAGCATGTGACCACTGTATATAAATTATATAAGTATGTAATTTTTACCCCTAGACCCCAACGGAGTTGGGATTATTTGAAGTTTTGTTGTTGTGTTAGTAGTACACAAATTAGAAAGTAATGGCATTGATGTTTTTAAAAAAGTTTATCAGCCGTAATATATACTCTCTTACTTTATCCCTGTTTACTCATTCACATTCATTGTGATGGATCCTGATCCATGCATTTTCTTTTTTTCAAGGAAGAGATGGCCTGACCCACAACATGTTAGATAACATACATGCTCATTGGAAGCGAAAGAGAGTGTGCAAGATAAAGTGCAAGGGGGTATGTACGGTAGACATGAAGAATGTGCGAGAGAAACTGGAGGTAATTTATAATGCACAGTTATTCCATTTCAGTAGATTCACATTTCCAGTCTGATAAATTGTTATTTTTCCATCCGTAATTGTTAACCACACTTGGTCCTTATGACCCAAGTCAGTTTGACCCTACACATTAAGAAATCTCTTTAAGTTCCAATTAATGCAAGCACCAAGCTAGTAACTTTGGTGGTGCACAATGACCAAAGCTAGAGCTGCTTAGGCCTTAGAGATTGTGGATGAAAAGAACTAACTCTCTTGACATAATTGAGTAATCAAAAAGTGATACTGCTGTCATCTGTTAATTGTTCCAATAGAATTTTTCTCTGTTTTTTTGAATCCTAAGTGATAGGAGTATTTTGTAGTGTCGAATGTTGAAAAGTAGGAGGGTAGAGAATGTGGAAAGTATGGGCATTTGTCACTTGTCATGCTTTTATTTTCTAAAAGGGGACAGTGGAAAAAGTATTTGGATACATTCTTCAAATCAATGTTGAACAAGTATTTGGTTATATTCTCGAAAGGCTGAGTGGAAATATTAATAGAAGACAGAGGGAGTATTAGGCCATGTTCTCTTCACGCGATCTTAATAGTTATGGTCTGATTTGAATAAGTATAAGTTCTGATATGATCTGAATGTAGTTATGTTTAAAGTTGTTTAAACATGGCCTTATTGGAATAAGTTCTGATCTGATTTGTTTCTGATCTTGTCTAGTATGATTTTATTTCAATCAGATCAGAACCATTCAGATGAGGTGAAGAGAACATGGCCTTAGTAAAAAAATAAGTTGAGGAGAACATGGCCTTTGTCTTTTTTTAGCTCATTTTTTTGTATTGCATTGATTAAAGATTGGCTAATGCCGAGTTTTCTGAAAATTTTGAAATGTGTGAAATAACAGGAAAAAACGGGAGGCAAGGTTATATACAGTAAAGGTGGTGTAATTTACCTTTTCCGTGGCAGAAACTACAACTACAAAACACGCCCAAGATTCCCGCTGATGTTGTGGCGTCCCATTACTCCTGTATACCCTAGATTAATAAAACAAGTTCCTGAAGGACTTACATTGGAAGAAGCAACTGAAATGCGTAAAAAGGGAGAGAGTTTACTGCCAATTTGCAAAATTGGTATTTCTGACCTTTTCTTCCCTTTCCAACTTACAAAATAGTGATGAAATGGAATGATGTATCTCTCCATGATAATATAGAATGTTTTGTTTTTTTGCAGGAAAAAATGGTGTATATTGTAACCTTGTGAGGAATGTTAGGGAGGCGTTCGGTGCTTGTGAATTAGTGAGAATCAACTGCCAAGGGGTGAACACAAGTGATTACCGGAAGATTGGTGCAAAACTCAAGGTATGATGTTATGAACTGTCATGTCAATGTCATGTTTTGAGCTAAAAACGCCAACGGGATAGAAATGATATTGTAACAGTCGTCAGTTGCATGGAGTTGATCATTGTTCGAACTGCAGGATCTCGTTCCGTGTGTGTTGATCTCATTTGAGCATGAACACATACTCATGTGGAGGGGGCGAACGTGGAAATCCCCAACACCTGAGGCCAAAGAAGAACCATTCACAACTCATACAAGAACGGAAACAGTAGCCAATAATGCATCCCTTGCTGTGCCTGATGCCGAAGAAATGAGTGAGATCAAGAGAACATCTGATGATCCATTTGAGCACGAGGATGATGACGAGGAGAAAAAAGTTGAACCAGAAAATCTTGACAACAGCAAGAAGAGGGAGAGCTTGAAAACCCCTTGGACAGAGGGAGTTTCGCTTCTCTTGAATCAAGCCATCGAAAGTGGGAGCGCGGTTGTGTTAGACGATTCTTGTTTGGATGCTGACATTGTATACCAAAGGGCTGTTTCTCTGGCCCAATCGGCACCTCCAGGTCCTGTGTTCAGACATGAACGCAAGAAAGTGGCCGAACAGCAAATCGGCAAACCTGCAGAAACTGGTTTTGAGGGTACAGAAAGAAGAAGAACAGGACCCTTGAGTGGACTCATAGAGAAGAGTGCAGCTTTTGTTCAGAAGGTAAGTGAGAGGAAGGTTTCAATTGGAGAGGACGATGTAAATGTAGGCCTCAGGGTGGATGAACTAGCTAAATTACTAGCATAATAGTCCCAATGAATTTGGTAACTCTGTAATTTTAAAAATCAACCTTGTTCAGGTGAAAAAAAAAAAGAATTTATGTAAATCTCTATTTATGTTTCTGCTATCATTCTCCAATAGGGATAATGTAAAACCTTTTTGGGGAGTATAAAAAATAGGAATAATGACATAATGTGACTTTGGTGTACGAAAAGTTTTATTCTTCTATGACCGAATCATTAGCTAAAAAATTACTCATATACCAGACATGTAAATATTAAATTGTTTATATGACAATGCATCACCATTATCAAAATGGTATTCGTGTGAACCTTTGGCTACGAACACCGCCAAATATATAATTAACATTTGATAGACTAAGAGACTTAAAGAGTATATAAAATTGTAAATCACATGAATATGAAAATAATAAGATTATGAGAATGAGAAGTTCACTGTCTCATTGTATTTGTTTAGTTTGATTCTTTTGAATCAAAGTATACAAACTTAAATCATTGTCTATACTCAAATAATATGAACAAACCAAAATTTGAAAGTTTTCCAAATAAATTTGGTTGCGAGTTAGTAAACTTTTTCTCATTTGATAAAATGTTGGTAGAGATTGCACATTTGACAAGACGAGATACCAAAAGAGTAACATTCGAATTTGATTTTTGATAATTATGCTGAGATGCAGTTATATTAAATATATAGTCTTTATAATTACTAAATGCAAAGTTTACTCTTTGACAACAATTACAATGATACACTTAAAATCTAATTTACCTAGTTCTCGAGTCAAGTCATACATGTTTTGGGAGGTGAGAACATCTTTTTTTTTCTCATCGGATAAAAAGGAACTCCATTTTACCGATTTGTCCAGACCAGGCCATCTCCGATCTTTCCCAATTCCACCGCGCCGGCGACTTCGCATTTTCTCTCACAGCTTCATCGAGGTTTCATCTTCTCCCTCACCTTCAGGTGAATCCCCGCCGCCGCCCCCCTTCTCTCTCTCTTTACATGCCCGTCCTCTGTCCAGAAAAAGCTTAAAGCCTGCAACGTTAGCTTAAATATAACATTTTAATTTTGAATTCATATTTCATTTCCCCCGATTTTGTTAAAATTACTCTGGGATTTGCCTTTTGAGATTCATAATCATATAATGATGGTCTTTACGGAGATCTGTGCATAAATCTTTTTCTCTGTTCACTCAAGATTCGTTTTTTTTTGGCATTTTGCGAGCTTTCATTTCACTTCCTTTTTTGGTTTATAAATCTGATTAACTGTGCTGATTATTAATTAGGGTTGACAGGTAATTGATTTTGACTATAAAAAAAGAACAATTTGTTTATTTGGCTGTGCTTTTTGATGTTTTAGCGTGATTTACGTCTATCTTCACTGAATTAGCGGGTTAAATAATGTTTCCTCTTTCCAAAATTAAGTTCCCACCCTTACTGTTGATATCTATAATTATTATATATCTAAATAAATATTGCGGAGTATTATATTATAAACTTATCTTATTCTAAAACTATAATATTTCAAAATGAATCTAATGGTACCAAGTTCACATTATAATTACATTTTTTTAAAATAAACATTAACCACAAAAGTCAAAATGAGAACTTAATTCTAGGACAAGTAGAGTACATACCACTCTCTTCTTTAAATACCCATCCTGGAGGAGTTGTAGTTGAAATTACAAGCCAATGTGTCTGTAATTCTCTGTTTTTTGTTTTTAAAGTAGAAATGGGGATGCTAAATTATTTCATTACGTAACTATGTGTATCAATCACTGCATGAATTTAAGGCGTTAACTAAATTTTATTAAAAAGGGGCATGCTTGATATGATACTTCATAAGAAGGTTACAACATGAAAGTAGAGAGGATTTTTTAAATTAATCTATATTGTTACCTAATTATCGACTGTTAATTGACACTAAATGCCTTGGCGATGATAGATGAAGAAGAATCAGTCAAGTGTTACTGAAATTTGATTTAGGAAAGGGATGCATTATAGTATGCTCATTTGTAATGCTCTCGATGTAATTAATCAACTTTTAATGACACAAAGACAGGCAAGCACCAATGTAATCTGGCTTGGCATTGCGGCCTTTTTTGACAAACGTTTGACAGTTGATTCAAGTTCAAAGATTCCAGTTATGGAGTTTTCAATGTTTGCATTTGTTACTTACTACGCATTGGCAATGCATGCCATCAACCTGCCTGAAGTTATTTATTGTCTATTACTTGACCGTTTTTCTGATTGGAAGTTTTATCTAACACAAGCCTTGTCTAACGTTCTTGTTTCGCAGATAACTTGCAAAATCAGTATTTTGAACTGCTCCATACATATGGTTAATTATCAAAACTGTGTATATGGAAAGAGTTGAATAACACACTTCTGGTTCTTGCTTTTCTTGTTTATCATGGAGGATGAAAATGGTCTCAACCTGAGCTTGGGACTACCATGTGGTAGAGGGACAGGGTCACAAAAAGGTAAAACCGGGAGCTCATCAAATGTTAGGACAGAAGAAGGTGATAGAAATAGCAATTCGATCAGTGATTTCAAGAACTTTTTTGATGGAGGTACAAAAAAGGTTGATTCTGTTACCGGTTCGCACAAAACTGATCTCGCGAAAAATGGGGGGAATTTTTTTAGTGGCCTTTCCAGTCCCACTGGCCATTCAGACACTACTAAAAGGTTAAATAATGGAGGATTCTGGTCTGCAAGTAGCAGTAGGTCCATCGAAGTAGGAGGAGGAAGGACAACAGATGCTAGCGATAGTCACAAAAGGAAATGTGATATAGATTCTCATGACAAGACGATGGCATCACACATTTCAATTAACACGGATGATGACTCAACTGGGGACATTGAAGATGTAGCTGATTCTGAAGCAGAAAGTCATGGACAAAATGAGGTTAATGATAAGGATGTTGTTAAAGATAGTACAGAATTGCAAGGACAAAAAATGTTCACCATTTCTACAGAGAAGGAAGCTAAGTTTGGGAATATGTCTTATGGACCTCCATTCTCTCAACCAGTGAACATCACAAACATGCCTTGCTCTCTTCCTCTAAAAAATAGCAGTAATCCTAGTGGCACAGTTGGTGTACCAAGTTATCCGGGGGCCCGCCCTCTCGTACCTGCAAACATGCCACTGATGTTTGGATATTCTCATGTGCAGCTGTCCTCACTGGACAAAGGTAACGTTTGTGCCCCTGCTTCTCATCTTCACCGCCAACAAATTCAACCGCCTAATGCCCGAGGTTCTTTGAACACTGATATGCATGGTGATAGCATGAAGATAACTCAAGGTTTCTTCTTTTTTTTTGGCTCCTTCCAATGTTTTTTTTTTTGCTTTCATATGATCTATATATGATGACTACCCCTTTGGGCTTTGCAGTTCCATAAAAGTAGTTGCAATTTGGTCTGTTTTTTTAAATTTTGCTCCGTACAAAACAAAAACAAGAAACCTAGTAAAATCCCACAAAATGTAGAGTGTGGGGAGGGTGTGTACACAGAGCATACCCATACTTCCCTCTTCCTCTGGTTTGATCAAACAACAACAAATCCTATAAAACCCCACAAAGTGTAGGGTGTGGGGAGGGTGGGAGGGTGTGTGTATGCAGGCTTTACCCTTTACTTTTCTACCCTGTTCTCTAGCTGCACGTTCAACTTAGTATCATCCACTGGTTTGATCCTCACTGGATTCATTGGGGCTTCTTGATTCGTCCATTTGTTTGTGTCTTTGTGATGCTCGGTTTACAAACTACTCTGTACAATTCTAGAAGTATACTATGATTGGGGTGACTAGTGGATAACAGCTAGAGTTTATCAACAGTTGAAAATGAGATTGCCGAAGTGGACTGTTCAAACCAGAAAAGATGCAATTTTTTTAGTTCTTGGTTTTGGTGGGGCTTGGTGGATCCGGTAATGCGTTCTTTTTGGTAACATCTTTGTGTTGGATAACTTTAGTCTTTACGATTGTTTTTTTTTTGCTTGAATAGCCAAATGTTTATTGATTCATTTGATTGATTCAATTTGATATGATTATTTGTGTTGATGTAGCAACTTCAACACCAGTGGTTGTGCACAGCTCATCTGGCAATGGAAAACATCACCCTGCAGAAGAAGGTTCATCAGAAAACGCGAGAGGGAACAACAACAACAACATAAGCTTCAGTGGGGCCAAAGACCCATCATCCGAACTGCCCAAAGCAACATCCGCTGCAAATGGCCTTCCTCGTGACTTCACAGCAATCAGACCCGGTCTTGCCGCGGATGTCAAATTCGGGGGTTGTGGCTCTTACCCGAATCTACCTTGGGTTTCAACAACCGGTTTGGGTCCAAACGGTAAAACCATATCGGGTGTCACTTATAGGTATAGCCCTACCCAAATCAAGATTGTGTGTGCCTGTCACGGATCCCACATGTCTCCCGAAGAGTTTGTAAGGCATGCCGGTGAAGAAAGGCCTACAACCACCCATGAAGCTGTTGGTGGTGGTACGGGGTTAGTATCGTCTTTTCCAAATAGCAACTCTGCCGCCTCCGCTCAAAGCTGAATGAGTATGGTTGCCGGAGACAAAAGACCGGAGCTTTTCGTTTTGATAAGTGGTTAGTTGTATGTAACGATTTTTAGGTACAACCCTTTGCCAAAACCAAATTCTGAGTCAAATTCTTGTGTAAATGGCTTTGTATTATAGTATTTCGTAAATACCTATGGTGAAGATCATTCAATTAAACATGTTCATCATATTTTATTTAACCTTTTGTAGCAATAAATAATAAGTCCCAAAAGAATACATTAGGCTTCTTGACATCAATGGATTTCTATTGAATTTGTACCCACATTCCTTTGCTAGGCACGCCACGGTGCACGACGAAGAGCAAGTAGTATCCAGGCGGAGCGAGCTTCCCAGAGGGCGGCGCCACGGCGGAGATGACCTTGTTTCTAACTTCGTTGAGCCCCAAAATAAGCAATCTCTGGCCCTGAGAGAAGCCGTGAGTGGTGAACGGCGGCGGGTACATAGTGACCTTAATGTCCTCCACCCCCACGTCGGCCTCCAAATCGATGTGCACGTTGAAATTCTGCCCGTAACTCAACTGCTTGTCCGAAAGATCCTCCGCGATCTGCGGCCGGAACTGGGCCAGCTCGGCGGCCAAATACGGCGGTGAGAATTTCTCGACCCGCATCTCCGTCGGGTACTTGGCCTTGAAATTGTACGCGGCGTGCGTGTTGCTTCCCGCCACTAAGATTTTCCCGTCCGGCAAAACGGCGGACGAGGAGTGGTACATTCTCGCTATCTTTGACTCCTTCAACACATTGAACCTCTTCCCTTTCGGCTTATCCGGGCCGTACATAACGGGCGCGAAATTCGGATCCTCTGCTGCATCCCAGGCAGAGGTTCCGGATTTCGCCCCGTTGATCAGGAGGAGATCCCCAGTGGGGAGGATCAGCATGTCCCCCATGACCCTCCCCGACGGCATTTCTTCGATTTCCCAATTCGCCCCTTCCTCGTTCGCCGCGATCCTCCCGCACTCCTTCAGCGCGGGCGGGAACTTCCGCGGGGCCCGCTCCGTGTACCGGAACGCATCGTGCGAGTTCCCGCCGCACACCAGGACCTCCGCCCTCACGGGGTCCCCGTCCCTGGTGTTGGGGCCGAGCTTCAGGGGCAGAAGCGCCGACTGCCCGGAAGCCGGGTAGTTCCGGGACCCGCCCGGGAGCTTGGGGAGCTCCCGGACAGTCTCGCCGGTGCGGGGGTTCACGACGACGGAGCGGTCGTTGGCGAAGACGAAGACGGTGCCGTCGGGGAGAAGGTAGACGAACGGGTAGAGATTGTTTTCGAGGAACCCGGCGGTGGTGTCCATGAGGAGTGTGAGGCCAAACTGTTGGATTGGGAACTTCAGTTGATCTGGCGGGAAAATTTCATAATTGTGGGCCCCTCTCCCTCCAACCAGCATGATGTCCCCATTTTCCAACATTTGTTGAGTAGCATACCTTTGATTATGAAAATTAGAAATGACAACATAAATGATTGTTGAAACTAGAATAAAGATTTAAAATACTTCCTTCTTTCCTTGCGTAAATATCAAACTTTTTTAATAATAATCTAATTATAACTCATCAATCATATACTCCCTCCGTTCCTAAATAAACTTCCCTTATTAACTTTTTGCGAAATTAAGGGAGTGATATTTTGGTGTTGACTTTCCAAAAATACCCTTGATGTGATGGATAAAAGTAAGATGTGATGAGTAGATTATTAGTAAAAAATATGATGTGATAGGTAGGATATGAAAAAGCAAGGGGTAAAAGTGGTTTTTTAAGGGAAAAGAGAAGTTTTTTGGGGACAAAAAAAAACAAAAGGGGAAGTTTATTTAGGGACGGAGAGAGTACAACTCATCGGCTACTCTATTACGGAGTATAAAATAAGGTCAAAATTAGAAAATAATACCAAAATTACTCATTTTGGTGCATTTTTTTAAAGAAGGATTTTATGGAACGATAGGGGTATAAATGTTAAAAAAAATAATGAAAAGATCTTTGACGACAATATTTGAAAAGATGGAGGAGAAAGTATTTATTTTAGAAGATATTGAGTACTATAGGTACCATCTAAAGGTGGAAAGGGACGTCTCAATTTCTTGGAAATCACAAGTGTCACATGGTTCAAGAATCCTAATGCTTCGAACCCCTTCATCCGACCCTCCCGTGCTTATAAGTTTCCCGCTTTTCGACAAACCTCCCGATGAGCACCACGGGTTGAAGTTGATCTTCAATCCATTCCAAAGAAAAAAAAAATATGTTACTTGTAATAGGAATTAATAAAATTGTAAATTTTTTTTATTAAAAATAAACAACAAACGAAAACTGTAAGCAAACCTTGAGCGCCCTAACGCCGCCAGTGTTAGGGTCATAGGTAACACCGTGAGCCCAGCAATCAGTCCGCCCATTAGGGGCCTTCCGGCACCATTTAGGGTTCTGCCGTAGCGCCGACGGCCCTAAGTTCGTGGTGTCGTAGAAAACAACCTTCCCGTCTATCATCAATTGCATGTGCATGGCGGAGACGCCCACAAACTCGCTCGCAATTTCCCAGCTCGCCGCCCCGTAATCCATCTCGAAGTCCGGTTTTCCGGCCACCGGAAATGCCTCGGGGCTCGACCCTGGCCGGAAAAAATCCTGAAAGGAATCGACGTCGTCGGCCATGGCCGAGACGACGAAGAGCGTAGAAAGGAGAAAAAGATGATGAGGCTTCCATGGAATTTTTGATGTCATTGGAGAAGCCTTTCAGAAATTATCCTTTCGGCTTCTCCGATGAACATAGATTTTTTTTTTCTCTCCCTCTTTGATGTCTTAAAGTTTTCTTAGTTAATTTTATGGATGGTTTTTATGCATTTACGGTGTAGAAGAGGGATTAAAGTGTCTAGAAGAGAGGAGATTCATGACACTTGTAAATTAATGAACTCGCCAAAAAAAACTATTTCTATCTAAATTTTACTCAGCTCCCTCAAGTTTTTTCTTTCTAAAAAAACTTAATAAGTTTGGATTTTAATATTTTAAAAATTACTCCCTCTATCTCAAATCAAATTGCATGCTTACTATTTACATTGGTTAAACTTCATTTACTTTAGTTAATTTCTTATTTTTGTTATTCATTTGATAAAATAATATAATCATGTCATCTCTTGTTTTGTAGATTTTTTTTAATAATTTCTTGATATGTAAATTTTATTTTCTAGTTCCGCTCCCATTTTTATTAAATTATATTGAAAATAATTTCAGTCAAACATCGTAAACCAAAATAGGCAATTTAATTTAGGACAGATGAAATATATTATTTCACAATAAAAGAAGAATGGTAGGGGGACCCCAAGATTTTGACAGCAATTACACACCAAGACCAATATAGACACCCAAACATTTAATATATGTGCACACACAAACGTTAAATGTATGTATGTGTATGTATTAGCCTTGATGTGCATTGGGTGTCAAATGCTTGGAGCTCCCTAGCATGCACTTTTGTAAAAAGTATTACATTCATCAATTATTCCTCTTCCTAATTTGACATAGTGCACAATTTTTTGTGAGATGAAAATAATATTGATTTTCCTAAATACCTTAGCTTCCATCCAACCATCAACCCTTTCCCGTGCATCGGAATACGCTTATGTCTTTATATTGTTACTAATGCTAAAGTTTGTTTCATCTAACTTTTGATATTGACAAACAATCATGATTTCAGAACGAAAAAATAAATACAAGCCATTGTCAAAGTTGATAGTTGATGTGGCAAAGAGCACGAGCACTAGGGTTTAGAACTAAGATGTGATGTTAAGAATCGAGCAGGACCAGCCTCGAAAAATGAAAAAGTAAAATTTTACTAAAGCACTTAGAATCATTTACAAACATGCTTACTTTTTCAGCTAAGGCGTGACTCAAAATAAAATCTTTTTTCTTGCATCAAAATATTTCTTAAAACCTTCAAACCGTAATATAAAAAAATGAGTTTTTCTATGGCGCCCTTATTAATCTATGGGCATGGATGTCCCTCCACCTAAAAGTTGACATGTATGTGCATCCCTTTTAATTTGGTTGATATGTAGATTAATAAAGATTCTTTTTTTATTTTGAGCTTCAATAATTATAGTATGACCACTTCTCTTTCACTCCTTTTTATTTTTTATCAACTTTTTTTAAAATTTAGTTTTTTATTAATTACTCCCCATTAATTTATTAATTTAATAAGTTATTTTTTTCACTAGCCCATTCTACCATCCTAAATATTCCTTATTACTTTAACTTTAAAAAGGCAGAGTATTAATGCTTTTTGACGCACATTTATTATTACTTTTTCCTATAATTTTTCACATTAATTTTAATAATACAATTTTCTACGGAGTATTTCTTAACTTGAATGTCACTATTCCATGTTCTAAAAAAAGCACTACAACTACAAATAGGGAATATTTTTTTATTAATCTTAAACAAAATAAAAAATTTACATAAATACGTTTTTCTTTATAGTTTAATGGGTCAAACTACGGGGTACGGAGTATTTTTTTTCTTTACAATTTTTATTGACTATTCATAAAATAAAGTAACTAAATCATTATTTATTTTATAATACTTTTTATGTACTTTTTATAAAAAATAATTATATACTAATTTTCGAATTATTTTTAATTTTATACTAGCATTTTACATGTACTTTTATAAAATAACATTTTTTAATTCTATACTAATTTTGGAATATATATTTCAATGAGTCTTTTTTATGTGGCATTTCTAGAAGGGATAAGGGCAGGAAGAGCAGGATAAGGTTTTGATGCCCCGCCTTTCAGTTTCCCTCTCACTTGCAAGCTGTTTTGGGAGCCATACCTGCAGCTCTCAAGTCTCAACTCTCCGCCTCTCCCACGCTCACCGCCACCGCCCGCGGCTCTCAGTCTTAGACGACGTTCATCGCCGGTGACCTGGATTCTCCGTCCAGTTTAGGAACCATTCAGGTATTCCAATCTTTTCCAATCTGCAACTTCTGTTCAATGGAGGTCTAGGATCAGAGTAGTTGGTCTGAATTTTGGGCCTTATTGTGGAGCCTGTAGTTTGTGTGCTTTGGGTCCGAGTTGTTATTGTTGGTATGAGTGCTTCTTGCATATTTGTTCTTACTTTGTTCAAGTTAATGTCACTCTGTCTCACTCTACTAATACTATATAGGCCTTTTTTTTCTTTTTTTTTTGCTGTTATGCATTGGCTACATGGTGATGGATTGGATCCTATTTTTAGCTAAAGTTCATACTTTGCATCTCCTTCATTGATTTTTTACCGATTGCAATTCATTTCCTAGCACCTCGCCTTCTCTTCACCATATCCGGCCATAATCATTCACACTTTTTTGCCAACATAAGTCGTACTAAAATAGAACATATGGAGTGCAAGTTTAGCCACGTGAGGAGAAGGCTAACATTGAAGCGAGAGTTGGAGATAATACTATACCGCATGTGAAGAGATTTATGTATCTTGAGTGTATCAATGAGGACAATGGAGAAACAAAGTATGATGTAAACCACCGGATTCAAGCAGCTTGGTCAAAATGACAGAGTGTTTCAGGTGACAAAAGAGTACCTTTAAAACCGTTTGGAAAATTTTATCGTCTTGCGATTAGACCAACTATATTGTATGGAATGGGGTGTTTGGTGGCAAAGGGTGAACATAACAAAATAATAGTGTTGACGAAATGAAGATGCTTCGATGGATGAGTGGTCATACATATATGGATAGGGTAAGGAATAAAGATATGAAAGCCGAAGTTGGAGTAGCACCTATAATTGAAAGGATGGTGGAAGTCCATCTTAAGTGGTTTGGACATGTGAAGAGAAGACCAATAGAGCATCCAGCGAGAAGGGTGGGTCAAGTGGAAAGTAGACATTCCCCTAGAGGAAGGGGCCGACCTAAAAAAAACTTGGCACAAAGTTTTCAAGGGTGATCTACATGTGAATGATCTCGTTGCAGATATGAACATATGATACATGATAGAGCGCAATGGTGTCGTTTGATCCATGTAGCCAATCCCACCTAGTGGGACAAGGCTTGGTTGTTGTATAGTTTTGGACTGTGAAGCTTTTGTGTTGAACAAAAATTAGGACCCGCCACCAGATTGGATTCTTCAATTTTATTGGGGATCATTTCATGATTTTAATCTTTGATAATTTTATCTTGTACTCATGCCACTATAAAAGGTTTAGGGGTTTTATTTTTTAAAAATAAAGAATTACATTAACGAAACAAAAAGGTACAACAAAGTTTGGGGGACTAAAATCCCACATCCTGATACAAGAATCAACATGTCTGGCTAAAACATGAGCCACTTGGTTACAAGAGCCATTAATAAACATATCCAAACCGAACTCAAAGACGGTAGAAGCATCTTGCAAGTTGCAATCACTAATCACAACTCCAAAGTATGATAAGGATGGACTATCCCTTTTGATATCACCAACAACTTGAAGGCAATCAAAATGCACAGTCAAGTTTGAAATAGATTTTTCCTTCAACCAAGATAAAACTTCACGGATCGCCATAGCTTATGCGAGTAAAGGACTAGTCCCACATCTAAGCCTACCATTAATGGCTTCCTGAAAAACTCCATCATGTTCAAATAAAACACACCCAAAACCCCCATACCTGAGTTAGTAAAGATAGTTGCATCCACAAAAGCCTTTCTACCAGGCAAGAGTTCATCACTTCATCAGCTAAGTGCACATCTCTCACTATAGCCTCCAAGCTAATGCATCTCTTCTCCCAATCCTGAGATCAATTTTTTATCCTTTGCACTGTGAGAGAAGGAATGGGCACTTGGTGTTCCCATACTGCTTGATTTCAAGCCTTCCAAATGATCCAAACAGTCCAGCCCACCATGCTAAGGTCCTTCGTGGAATAGACCACTGCACAACTATTGAACCTAAACTGGAATGAAGCCGTCGTGTCCGACTCCCATCTAAATCCGACGCCCTCCCAAACATAGGAGGAACAGATGAGTTAAAGTTTCTCCCCTCTCACCACAAATAGAACACATATTTTCAAGGTCAAGTCCCTTGGAATTTAGTGTTTCATTTTCAGGGGTCTTATATATACCTGTTATGGGTTGTTGTTGTTGTTATATATACCTGTTATTTCTATTATTGCTCTGGCTTGTTATATGTGATGCACGTGTCTTATGAAAATTAGAGGTTTAAACTATTTGGGTTGCCCTTATTCTCATTTTCTCGTGAATTCATATTCTTACATGTATAATGCAATAAACTGGGTTAGTTAGATTTCAAGCTTGTAATTGATGAAACTCAGCACTCCCTGGCAGTTATTAGCACCACAAGATTTCAAGATTTTAATTCATCAGTTTCAACATCTGCTCTAGGCACTTAGCAATACACGATCTCAACATCTTGACTGAAAAAAGTTCTATATTTTCTTTAGGCCAGTTAAGTACAAGTACAGGAAAATGTTCGATGTTACCATACCCACTTACCCATCATTTGATATGGTCTTGCAAATTCTTCGCTCATCATATTGCATGTAAATGAACTCAGTTTCCTACTTGTGAGTGCGGAAGGAATAGTTAACATTTTGATGTAAAAATTGTGTGGTTGAAATTGATGCAGAGGAGAAAAAAAGAATAAGGGATAAAAAAAAAGTTTTCCAATTGTGGAATGAGGGACTTTTTTTTTGGGTCGTCCCTAAAAGGAAATGAGGACTCTTTTTGGGATAGACGGAGTATATCATATGATCATTATTTTTTGTTTTTGTGATTTGGTGTGATCTTTTTACTTTTCTTCCTTTTTGATTGGGAAATGGAAAGGAACAATTGAATTTTTTTAGAGCTTTTATATTTTTTACATTTTGAAAGTGACAGAGAAACTATATATTTTTTATTATCTTCTGCACTTGCATTTTATCACGTCACTGGCTTTATTTGTTGACTTCAAGATGAAGGAAGAAAAAGAACAATTTATTTGCATATTTCCTTTCTATTGCAACAGCATTCTATTTGCTTGATTTTAATTTCCCCTTCTGTTGATTTACAGGGATGGGGTGATGCAGAAACTCTTATAACTTGTGCTTGACTACTACTGTGCTTCACATATCCATTCAGCATGGCTCCTTCAATTCCAACCTCATTTAACCACACTTCACTAATTCCAGGAAATATCTTCACAGCTAGAAAGAATAAACTTCTGACTAGATGTGCCATTTATCAGAAATCTGGCAGACAAACATTTTCTGCCACACCTTTCTCAACGTCTCTTAGACTGTTTCCCCATCTCGGAATTGCCTTTGATGCAAATTCTAAACCAAGAAACCCCATATTGTCATCAGCTAAGACTGATGTAATAGTAGAAGAGGCAGATTCACCCACAGTAGGTAACATCTCTATTGAAGCTTCAGAAATTTCAGCTGATGCTGGAAAAGTGTCATCAGCTAAGACTGATGTTATAGTAGAAGAGGAAGATTCACCCACAGTAGGTAACATCTTTAAGGAAGCTTCAGAAAGTTCACCCAATACTGGAAAGCAGAGCGAAAGAACCACTGTCAAATCAAATTCCAGTCCAAACCGTGCTTCTTCAAAACGCTCAAGGTTTGCCAGAAAGAGTGAAATGCCTCCTGTTAAGAACGAAGATCTGATTCCAGGTGCAACTTTCACCGGAAAGGTCAAATCAATACAGCCTTTTGGAGCTTTTGTTGATTTTGGAGCTTTCACAGATGGACTGGTTCACATTTCAAATTTGAGCGATGCGTTCGTTAAAGATATTGGAAGTGTCGTTTCTGTTGGACAAGAAGTAAAAGTGAGACTACTTGACACTAATATGGAATCAGGAAGGATATCGCTGACCATGCGTGAAGATTTTGAGGCCAGTAAGCCAGAGCAGCCAAAAGATGCTCCTGTAAACAACGATAAATCTCGAACACCAAAGAGGTCCCCTCTAACAAGCACCCAAATAAGAGAGGAGGTCAAGAAGGCTTCAAGATTTGTGAAGGGGCAGGATCTTGAAGGAATAGTAAAGAAATTAACAAGGTCTGGTGCTTTCATATCTCTTCCTGAAGGGGAAGATGGCTTCTTGCCAAGATTAGAGATGGATGATGAAGGGTTAGGGCACATCATGGGGGGATCTTCACTGCAAGTAGGTCAGGGAGTTAGTGTCCGTGTTTTGCGAATCACTAGAGGACAAGTAACTTTGACCACAAAGAAAGAATCAGCCTGGGAGTTGGATGCTAAAGGCCAAGGCATTATTCACACAGCAACCAATCCCTTTGCTTTAGCATTCCGCAAAAATAAAGAAATATCTAAATTTTTAGAACAGAGGGAGGAAGAACTAGCTAAGAAGTCATTTAATGATGATAACAAAGCCCAAACCAGTGCAAGTATGGTGAATGATACATTATCTGAGACATCGGAAAAAGACACACCTTGTAGTGCAAGTCAAAGCATTAGCATTATGATTGATGAATTGGAAACACCTTCTGAAACATTGGAGGCTACAACAAACATGACCACCATAGATCAGGCAAGTGTAGAGCCTTCTGCCACTGAGGATGAATTTGAAGCATCTTCTGAAACATTGGAGGCTACAGCAAACAGCACCACCACAGATCAGCCAAGTGTAGAGCCTGCTGCCACTAAGGATGAGTTGTTGTCTAAAACTGTAATGGATCAATGTAGTGAAGAGCCATTTGCATCTAATGTTTTGGAAACCACTGCCAAACCTGATTTATCTCAGGAAATAACTAACAAAAGTTTTTCATCCAAAAGTTCAGAAAAGGTTCATAATGAGCATGATCATAATGTGAATGATGAAGCCCAAACTCAAAGATGTCATTCCGGGGAACTCTCTCCCACCCAAGGTGAAGAGGAACCTAGTGGCATTGATTTCCAGGAAAACAACAGTACTCTGAGGATGTGTGAACAAAGTGTGGTTTCTCAAAACATAAATTGTGTGGCTGAAGGTTTGTTGCCAGTTCTTTGTCTTATTCCTGTGTAATAGATGCTTTCCCAGTTACTTAAAATTTGTGATGCATTAGCAACATGGTTTCTCAGATTGGGTATTATAAAAATTATAATGTAGACAGGTACATATGAACTCCTAAATTTATCAAAAAATTAAGGCTAAGTAATAACTTGAAAACAGGCGTTTTGAAACCTAAATTTTGTTGTGTAAATTGTGTATGTTGTGTGAATAGTAATGAACTCAAGTTGATGTTAGGCCGAGTGGCCAACCAGTCATGGATTCCTTGTGATAATTCTTTCAAAGATATCTAAAGCATGCTAATAAGCATTTTATACAGATCCTCAGACAGATGGAGAAGTCCTAATGGGAAATAAAGTTGATGCAGATGAAATGCAGAACGAAACTCACACATTACCAAGTGGGGTATCGTCAACCACAGGTTGGTTTTTATCTTCTCTGTCTATGAAGTTCTTGTTGAAAGTTGCTGAGTAACTCCTAATAGTTTTTCCATAATAATAGTTTTAGCTGTATTTTTTTTTATAAAGAAAAGAGAACACTATTAAAAGAGAAAAAGTACATGGGGAGGACTAGATCGGGCCCCTAAAAAAAATTACGTAAGGATAACTAATATTACCAAACTTGAGAGTTCCAGTCAAGGAGCTAGGGAGGCCATCCGGCTTGGTTGGTGCCACGAGGGGTGTAAGTTCTTCATTGTCTAAACTGTGTAGGTTGTGCAACAAAAAAGCAACCTAGTCACCTTGTTCTTATGCGAGCCCCGCAACATTCCTTGCACACCCACTTCAAAACATTCGGCAATGTGGTCATCTCTTATGCCAAGCCAACTAGCCAAGTAAATCCTGGACAGTTTCCCAAACCACACTGAAAAAGAGCATTTAAAGAAGAGATGCGCCACTGTTTCCTGCTTTGTCCTGCAATATTGCACTGTTGACCCATGGCCAGGAAAAGGAAGTTGTCCTTGGTGGGCAATTTATTACGAAAACCAAGCCACACAATAATGGAATACTCAGGATGGGTATATTTCTTCCAATGAAAGGTATCCATGGTCTTTTAGTTTGTTTGACCCGAAGTAGTTCATGCACCTTTCCATATAACAAATGACCATATCACAAAGCCTCTCAAACCCACCAGCCATGCCCCGACCACAAAAAGTCCATGATCAATGCCTCTTCTTCTTTAATCCTTTGAGGTAAGTGGCACTCCCAGGTAACGCACAGGAAGCATACCCAGGGGGTAATCCACAAGTCCAAAGATGTTTTGCCATCCTTCTTCAGAGGGTCCAGCCAAGAAGATGTTGGATTTGGTGGGGCTAACCTTCAGGCCAGAGGCACTAGAGAACTCAGCAAGAGCATCCACAAGAATTTTAACAGCAACATAGTCTCCCCTCGAGAAAAGCATAACATCATCAGCAATCACAATTGAGTGGTCTTTAGAGGGGCACATTTTGGGTGAAAGCTGAAGGCAAGCTCCCTTGTACGCCAGTTAAGGATTCTAAAGAGGTAGTCCATAGAAAGAATAAACAGAGTAGGGGCCAAGGCTCCCCCCTGTCTAAGCCTACACTACGCCTTTAAGAACCCATGTAGACAGTTTTTGAGGGAGAGAGAAAAGGAAGTGGTGGTGACACATTCCATAATCAAAGAAACAAACTGCCTAGGGAACCCAAGGCCAATCAGAACAGACCCCAGAAACTGCCAGGAAACTGTGTCAAAAGCCTTGGTGATATCCACCTTGAGCATACACCTAGGAGAAGTCCTTTTCACTGCATAGCCCTTCACAAGTTGCTGGGTAAGGAAAATATTGTCAACTAGGGATCTCCCCTCCACAAAAGCAGACTGTGCTGGGTCAACAAAAGACGGCCGGAGGGGGGGCCATTCTCTGGGCAAGAACCTTAGCAATGATTTTGTAGATGACATTAGAACAAGAGATAGGCCTGAAATCTTTGACTGTGGGATCAACACAGTGATTGATCTGCTTAAGTTAAGCAGCTTTCCTTTGGTGAAGAATTCACACACAGCAGCAAAAACCTCCTTTCCTACCAACCCCACTGAATTTTGAAGAAGGCAGAGGGATATCCATCCGGGCCAGGAGCCTTGTTGTTCCCAATATCAAAGACAGCCTGCTTGACCTCCTCTCTAATTACCTCAACCAGCTACCCATGAGCAGCCTCGGGGGGGATAAGGGGGCCAGAGGAGCATCATCTTTTGAGAGATAGGAGTGGCAGGAACATGGTTGCCAAAAACTTCACTACTGGAGGTAGTCCATCACTTCTGACCAGGAAGGGGATAGCATTACTAGTCTTGTTCTTGACATGGGCATGGAAGTAGCATGTGCCCTTGTCACTGTCAACAAGGAAGTCACATTTTGCCTTTTGCTGAAGGATCTCTTAGCATCAATGAGGAAGGTGGCTTCTGTCTTCTTGGAGTTCATATCAATCAGGGAGGGATTGCTGGGATCATCAACCAGGAGTTTCATAAGGGACTTATACTTATCATTGGCCTTTGTTGCTTTGATGGAGATATGACCAAAGACTTTGCTTTTGAGGGCTTTAAGAGGCCCTTCCCAGACCCTTCTAACAATCTCACCAAAATCATCACGGGGGGTCCACATGTTGAAAATTTTAAAGGGCTTGGAGCCACTGGGGGAGGGGCCAAAAAGGGAGAGCACAATTGGGCAGTGGTCAGATTCAATCGTCAAGTCCATAAAAGCAGCTCTGCAGTCAAGCCCAGAATCAGCCCAGTCACGATTCAGAAGGAACTTGTCTAGCTTAGCCCATTTCTCCCTCCTTTGCCAGGTAAAGAAGAGCACAGTAGAAGGGGCATCATCCAAAGCATTGTCTCCAACATAGGCCATACTGTTTTGGCAGTTCACTCTTTCATTTGAGGCAGAAACACAGTTGAAATCTCCCATAATTGCCCACGGTTTGCTCATAGAATCTGCAATGTTAGCCAATCTAGACCACAAAATCCTTCTCACACCAACACTACATGTTCCATACACAAAGGAAATAGCAAAGGACTTGGGTAATACAACAAGTGATATCACAATGCACATACTGTTCAGTAATATCTACAACATTACAAAAAAATATGTAGGATCCCACGGAATTGCAATCCTGCCACCAGCAATAAAATCAAAATTGGTAACAGCACGCCAACCTGGCAGGTAGTTATGTAAAGGCTATTAAGCTTGGTGGTGGAATTTTGGTGGGCCTGAGTGAACTGGGCGGAGTTTTGGGTGAGATTTCACCATTTTTCTAATATAAAGTCCAGATCCACTTTCTAAGCAAAAGCTTAAGCCAATGGGTAGTGCCTAACCTTTCTTTATATGGAGGTAGTATTTTTTATTGATTTGCCGGTGTGGGACGTGCCCAACACACTGCTCTCTAACATGGCTCCAGAAAGCTTTCTCCCGTACACAGGATAGATGGACGCCATTAGTGACCAAAAAGCTACTCAAAAAAGATTGTTTCGAGGCTTTACACAAGCCTAGAACATTCCAACTGAGGATTTTCATTTTGGACGTGAGCCGGAGCTCCCACCCATGAATTTAGGTTTCCCCACCTTTCCTTCCACCAGCACCATGGTGCACTTCAACAAGAGTATCTTTCCCTTTCCTCTTCCTTGCAATCTCATTCCCAGCAGTAAGGGTCTTGATTATTAGCTGTCCCACCAGTGGGATTTTCATTTCGGCCAGTGTCCATAGCTTCCTTCTGTGGTGAGTCAACAACTTCCTTCCCACCTTGGGTAGCTGGGAAGGTTCCTTCCCACCAGTGGGATTTTCATTTCAGCCGGTGTCCTTTGTTATGAGTATTCCTGAATTAAGCTAATGATGCTTGCCAATAATCAAGATAGAAATCTTAGAACTATTTGCATCAGCATTATTGTTTTATTTTCATTTTAGTTTAGAAACCCTAGAGATTGCATGATACTCTGTATTTAGTTTCCCTACTATGTGCCCTGCTTCTGTAAAGTACTGAGCCTATATCTACTTTTAAGTTTTTAACACTAGCTTTTTGTTTAACCATTCTTACCATTAATTGATTTGAAATGTCGATTCATTTTCACACCTTTCTGTGATTTCTAAAAAGTAAATTTAAAAAAGGATATTATGTTAGGGGTTAAAATAGGAATGTTGATCGGATATCATTTGTTTTTCTTTTTATATCAGCTGAAAATCAATCGAAAACAATAAAATGGGAGGGAAGCAATAAATTCTAGATCTAGTTATATTGACATCGTGTGACTGTCAGATGAAAGGACAAGAAGCATGGCCAGTTAAAAAAATTGGACGAAGCAGAAGAAAATGTGACTATATTGAGTAATGATTATTGTTAATAATTACTCCCTCTGCCCAAAAAAGAACTAAATTTAGAAACATAATCTTGTCCCAAAAACAGTCTCTAATTTCTGATTGAATTTAATGTGTATTTTTCAAAGAGGTGTTTCTAATAAGTTAAGTATATGGAGTATTAAATTTGATTGAACAAAAAAAAGCTTTAAATGTTATTTAACATTGATTGTCTGAAAGAGTTGTCCCTTACCAAAAGTTTAAAAAAAAAGTATCTTGATGAAACTAAACTCTTTTTGGTGCGGATGGATAAATAAATACTCTGGAAATAAAAAATTGTATCTTGATATTTCTGCAGCACCTGTGAAGCAGATGCGTGAAGAGACAGGAGCTGGAATTATGGACTGCAAGCAAGCTCTCTCTGCAACAGACGGTGACATTGTTAAAGGATTGGAGCATCTTAGAAATAAAGGGCTCGCTACTGCAGATAAAAAAGCCAGTAGGGCCACGGCTGAAGGAAGAATTGGCTCTTACGTTCATGATGGTAGGATAGGTGTGCTTGTAGAGGTGAATTGTGAGACAGAGTTTGTATCCAGAGGAGACATATTTAGGGAATTGGTTGATGACTTAGCCATGCAAGTTGCTGCATGCCCTCAAGTGCAGTATCTTTCCACGGAGGACGTTCCAGAAGAGGTTGTCAACAAGGAAAGAGATATAGAGATGCAGAAGGAAGATTTGTTGTCAAAACCGGAGCAGATTAGATCCAAGATTGTTGATGGGAGGATTAAGAAGAGGCTTGCGGAATATGCACTGCTGGAACAGCCATATATCAAGAACGATAAGGTTGTTGTCAAGGATTGGGTCAATCACACCATTGCGACATTGGGAGAGAACATTAAAATGAAGAGATTTGTGAGGTACAATCTCGGGGAAGGTTTAGAGAAAAAAAATTATGATTTTGCGGCAGAGGTTGCTGCACAGACTGCAGGTAAGAGTGTGCCACCACCAGCTAAGCAGCAGCCAGTGTCAGCTGGAGCTGATGAACCTGTTGAGTAAGTTTCTACCTTTTTCTGAGTAGTAAAACCCATACGTTTGTTTTTCAGACGTGTAGGAATATAAACCTTAATGCTTTATTTACTTACACAGGGCTCCCAAGAAAGCAGTCTCTGCTGCTTTGGTAAAACAGCTCCGCGAAGAAACTGGAGCCGGCATGATGGACTGCAAGAAAGCGCTGTCTGAAACTGGGGGAGACCTAGAAAAGGCACAAGACCATCTCAGGAAGAGAGGCCTGTGGAGTGCCGACAAGAAGTCCAGCCGGCTTGCAGCTGAGGGGAGGATAGGGTCCCACACCCACGACTCCCGCGTAGGTGTCCTGATTGAAGTCAACTGTGAGACTGACTTTGTGGGGAGGAGCGAGAGGTTCAAGGAACTGGTCGCTGATCTGGCAATGCAAGTCGTGGCTTGCCCCAAGGTACAGTATGTAAGTACTGAAGATGTTCCAGAGGGAATGGTGGAGGAGGAGAAGAGGGCTGGGGAGCTTAGTCTCCTGGAGCAGCCATTCATCAAGGATGAGAGTGTTTTGGTTAGAGATTTTGTGAAGCAAACTGTTGCTGCTCTTGGGGAGAACATAAAAGTGAGGAGGTTCGTTCGGTTCGCGCTTGGCGAGTAGGAAAAAATGCGACGAGGAAGAAATTTCCTTCTCTATGAATATATATACATATACTTTTGAGATAAGGCTTGGTTGAAGGTTGTTGTTGTTGTACTAGCCATCCCTTTGAAAATGGAAAATGAACTACTCTCTCACCCAATTTATCTTGCATGTTTTTATTTTTGATTTGTACCAATTTTTCTCTGTTTTTTTTATTTGTAGGATTTTACTGGTTTTGTTGCACTTTGATCCGGTACAAAAAATTTAAAATGAAATTTTTTTTGTTGGAATTTATGAATAGGCGAGAGAGAAACAATATTTTAAGTACATAATGGTTTTTAGTACATAGAAACATGCATTATAAATATGGATGGATAAAAAACACATTCTCCTTTTATGCTATGACTATATTGTTTTATTAGATATTCCTTTCATCTTTGAGTTTTTGTTAAGTTGTGTCTTTTTGCAATCAACTATTTTTAACATATAATTAAATACTCTCTCTGTTCACAAATAAACTTTCCGTTTACTATTCACAAGGTCAAATTTTATTCACTTTGTTGGTCTGTTTTTGTCACCCATTTGATAAAATAATATAGTCATGTCACATCTTGTTTTGTAGATCTTTTGATATAGTTTTTAAATATATGATTTTTATTTTTAAATTTTACACTATTTTTCATATAAAATAATTTGAAAATAACTTCAATCAAACACCGTAACACGCAATGAAAAGTTTATTTGTGGACAGAGGGAGTAAATTATACTCCCTTCGTCCTATAATGATCTTCCCGGTTCATTTTACGAAGTTTGACCGATTTTATTTTCAATTCAATTTATTTGATTGTAGGTGTAAAATTAAAAAATAAAATTTATATATTTAAAAACTACTTCAAAAATTCTACAAAACAAGTGGTGACAAGATTATATTATTTTATCAATACCTAATGAAAATAGGTAAAGAAAGTTATTAAAATTTGACCGGGTAAAAAGTGTGTGGGAAGAACATTATAGGACGGAGGGAGTATAAAGTATAATGATTACATAAAACAATATTTTGAAAATACAATATAAAACAAATCTAATAATATTAGTTTTGTATCAATATTTAATATAAATTTGAGTTGACATTTAAGTAAATGGTACCCTCTTCAATCCCATTTTTTATTACTACTACGGAGTTTTTTTTTTTAAAGCCCATAAAGCTTTTGTGTCCAGGAGTTGGAGACAAGCATACTGCATACTCTGAGTTGTTGATACTACCGGAGTATTTTGTTAAAGAGTGGACAATTGCCCCTCATGTCCCCATTTGGTTCTATCATGTAGGGTTGGGCAAAAAAACTGAACCAGCATGGTACCATACCGCACTATAATGGTAGCGATTGATTTTAAGGTTCACACCGTACTGATACTAAACCATTTAAATACGAGCAATTCGTGATAGGTTCCGGTGATATCACGGACCATTACAGACTGCATCCACTGGTGTCAAAAGAAGTAGCCTCATATAACAATGTGTAATAAGAATAATGCAATGATAGAGAAGTGCAAGCTTATATATATCAAAGCAAGAATAACACATTGGAATAAATAACTACCCCTACAAGATGGAACATATAATGGATCCTCTCGCTGCTAAGTTGATAGAATAACGACGACACGTAACAAGTCATAAGACAGACCAGAGGAGAAAATGGATCATCTTGCTGCGAGAGAAGTGCGTGTTTAGTGGCTTATGCACTTCTCTCCATCACCCGCGGAGCTGCTGCAATAATAATAATAAGAATATGGCTCAGAAGAAGCAAATTATGAGTATCCCTATCATTGACAATTTGTGCACTTTTTTTTAAATATTATATACATTTTAATTTTAGTCGACTAAATCAAGAGGTAAGGTGTGCATAAACACATCCTCCCCATACCCTTCTTGTTGGATTTTTGTTAAATTTCAGAACTTACCTAGACCAGTTGTTGAATCAGAACTTCTCACGATCCTTAGTCGCTTGCAAGCATTGACAAACAGTCTACAATCACACACACACAAAAGAATCATATGCTACAAAACTGACATATTCTTTTCAACTCACTTCAATAATACCAGATCAGATCAGACCAGCATCACATAATAATAGTAACAAAGTTTACATAATATCAGACCAGACCGGAAACCGGACCCTCCAACAAGAAACTTACTCCCATGGGAGATCACCGACGAGCATCCAATCGCCATCCTTGTCCTCAAAGGTAAGCACACATTCTGCACCAAGTTATCATTTTTTGTCACATTTAATGGATCTTCGCTTATTTGTGGCAGTAAGATGTATGGGAAGCTTTGAGGGGTGAGTTACCAAATGTAAAGCAGCTGAACATGTTTTTCAGAGCCAAAGAGAGATCCTTATAGCTGCCATAGTTCTTGAGGTCAACTTTCCTCAAGTATGGTGCACCATCCATGCTGACTTTGACATAGAGACAGCTTGATCCCGGCTTTCCATGGGACTTTTCTTCTTCCTTCTTTGGGGGAATGGCAGTCATCGAGTTCTTTCGAAAAGACCGTATCGGGGGCCACCCAACCACCTGAGCCCTGTCGTTTGTTTAGATGAGATAAAAATCTTGTGAGTCACGTGTTCATTACTAAAAAAAAGAAAACAAGTTGGGAGTTTTCTTTGGGACGTCCAAAAAATGGAAGTGGGTAAAAAGTTTTTTGGGACGTTGGGATTACATTTTATTGTAACAATAAATCTCACGCCACCAACCCCATCGCGATAAATTACTCACATTACAATCAATTGACTGAGATTAGAAACCAGATTAAAATGTAACAAAGGATAATAATTGTTAAGGCAAAAGAAAAATATTTATGGATCAATACATCACTAAATTCAGAGCATAGACACAAACAACAACAGCAAACCGAATGAAATCCGACTAAACGTAATGTCTGGGGAGAGGCGGTTGCCAAGAGACCGCCGCTCAAACATAGGACACACAATATCAACAAAAATGAAAAATAATGCAAACCATGAACTTCTTCAACAGCATTATGAATTTCCCAGAGAGAAAACATAGCTGATATATTGACAGCCACAATACTCCATATAAGGATCTTGTCAAAAGGATATTCAAAAATTTAACTTTTGCAAATATTCAGACCAAAGAAACAGGAAAGCAAACAAAATCTACAGGAACAAAATCTTCAACAGGAACAATAATAATAGTAATAATAATAATAATAATAATAATAATAATAATAATAATAAAAGAACCAGAAAATTACTTTGCAGCAGGGGAAACCTGAGACTTCTTCTCTTCTTTCACAACAGCTGAAGCCACATCAGTAAGGTGTCTGCTATTCTCAGATCCAGCGAAAGCCCTCGTCCCAGAACCGCCATTAATGGTGTGCGAGAACCCCCTTTTGGCCCCAGAAGCCAAAACCCTGAAACCCTCAAAACCCCTATCTGGGGACTCCGAACCAGGCAAGCCCAATCTAAGCTCAGTGGCCTTAAAGTTCAAATCTTTGCCACTCATTTCACTTCCAAGTGATGAAGCACAGGCCTTTTCAGAGCCCTCCATTGAAGAAGAGGCATGTGATAAGCCTATGTAATCATGCTCCTCAAAGGGTTTCGACATTACAATCAAAATCTCTCTATTATGTAACTCTGAAATGTAAAAAAAAAAAAAAAATTGCAGAGGTTTATGAAGCAAGAGTGGAGTGTAGTGTGTTTTTCGCTAGACAAAAGCTGTACTGCACCGAGGATGAGGTTTGAGCAGTAGTTGCAGTGGAAGTATGTGATTATACCGGAGTGAGAAGAAAAAAAACACAAAAATGGGCAAAAAATATCAACTCACGCAAATGTGTACAATTTGGTATTTTACCAAAGAAAAAAAACTTTCATTTATTTGTCCACTACGAGTATATTCTTATGTGTTGGGATGTTGAACAAGAATATTGTTAGTTGTAGATCATTAGTGGAATAGGATGAGTCCATCCCGAAGATCCTCTCAGACCCGGTCGGACATTGAATGAAAAGAAATAAATTAGATTTTGATCACAGATCAGTGGCAATAGATCATTAATACGGAGTAGAAGATATCACACATAAGAGGTTTGCTGAAAGATTTTTGTTTCGAGTAGTGGTTAAAACCTCTTGGCGTGAGAACAAGGTGGGAAAATTAAAAGTTTTCTTACTCTGTTTGCTTAGTATTACGTGTTTGATTTCCATTGTTTCAGATATTTTCAATAAAATAATATAAATTTTTTTATTGAGCGTGGATCGAACACGTGAAAATCTTACAAAACAAGATATGACAAAACTATATTTTTTCATTAAATCAGTAACGCTGATCAATTTAAATCAGTATTGAGTAAAGAAAATGATAAATATTTGACCATGTAAATAGTAAATATTAAGTAGAATTTTTTTGGCACAATATGTATTTCATTTCTTTTTCTGAAATAAAAATATATTGTAATAGTTCAAAAGATATTATCCTTTCATCTCCAAAAGAAACTTTCATGAAGTATAATTTTATGAGTCTTCCGTACCAAAACAAACTTTTTATTTTTTTTTTCTTTTAATAAAAAAGAATTATTCATTAGCTTATTCTGTGACATTTCTCTTTCCCCTAAATTAATTTTATAAGCGTACCAATTTTAAAATATACTCCTTCTGTCCACCATAGATCTTCCCAGACACTATTCACATGGTCAAACTTTACTCACTTTGTTTGATCAATTTTACTAGTCATTTCATAAAATAATATAGTCTTGTCACCTCTAGTTTTGTAGAACTTTTCATGTAGTTTATTACTATATAAATTTTATTTTAAAATTTTACTTCTATAATCAATTAAATTGAATTGAAAATAAATTTTACGCGTAATGGGAAGATCATACATGGACGGAGGGAGTATTTCTTAAATTTCATTAATCAAATTCTGATTTTTTTCTGAATGAGAAAAATATTACGGATTACATTGAAACAATGTCATAGGGAGTCATTAAAAACGAACATCACAAGTTCACAACACAACAAATGCACTGCTCTCTTGCTCACCATTCACCAATGAAAGATACACCAATTTTATAGGTCTCATACATCTAAAGTTTAAATCTTTTGTACAAAAATTTCAATTCTCAAAAGAGAACACTCGAGCACGGGGAGGGAGTTACGGGTTGAAACTATCAATTTTACCAACGGAGTTCCAAAATGGCAGTGTCATTTTTGGATCATTTTTCGAGTCAAAAGATGATTGTCGTATAAAATTTAATGCTCTCTCCATTTCAAAATGTAAGCAACATTTTGAACGTCGTACAAAATAACATCTCTTTTAAAATTATTTTTTTACAATTTGGTAGAGAAATAAAAAGTAAAAATAAATCGTTCAAAAATAGATTAAAAAATGTTACAAAACAAGATGCGACAAGAATACATTATTTTATCAAATGTTCAACCAACATCAGTAAGCAAGCAAAAGTTATTGAGAAGCCGGAATAATAACTATTGCTTACATTTTGTGAAGGAGTTTTTGAAAAAATCAAATTCAATCTAAAACCATATAACAAATACGAAATGCTTAACAATGTATTTGATTCAAGGAATTTGAAAGAGAAAAGAAAATAAGATGGAAAACAGCTCTTCTTATTTGGATAGAGAGGAAAAAAGAAATGAAAAGTGGAAGGAAAAGGAAATGAAAAGAAAAATTATACTCTGTATTAAGAAGATGAATGATCAAATTCCTCCTATTTTGGTGAGGAAAAGAATAGGAAATCATTTCCTTTTCTTTTCCTTCCAAATTCTTTGAACCTAAGATATTACTCCATCCGTCCTAAAACGTTCTTCCCACTTTCTTTTTTTCTCCGTCCTAAAACTATCTTCCCATTTCTAAAAAAAGGGGTGTGATTGACCATTATACTCTTTTATCTTTATCCCCACCAACGATCCCACCCTCCACACAACTTTAATATTTGTTCTTACTCTTCCTCTTCCTCCCTCTTGTTCTTCACTCTCCATCGTCATTTGTTTCATTTTCCACTTCATTTATCCTCTAGCAATCGTCATCTCTCTTCACCGTCGTCTCTCTTCAATTTTCTCAATTTCTTGAAAGAATTTCATTTTCTCTCTCGTTCACCTAACATGGCGAGGGGGCTGCAGATCTGGAAATTATGAGGAAAGTAGTGAATAGTGAGGATACAGATAAATCTGAGAAATAATGAAGATGATAAGAGACGAATCTGAAGATATGACATTTGCGATGATGGATCTTGCGGATTATGAACTCCATTTTTTATGATGGCGGATCTAGAAGTAGAGCTCCCCTAAAGCTCATGCGCAGGTCCATATTGAACTCCATTTTGGAGTGAATTTGCACGGAACTCCTGACTTTCAACTCGAGATTTATTTTAGATTTCTTTTTCATCTGGACTGTAATTTCAATTTTGATGCAGTGCATTTTCAAAGAAGTGTTGGGGGAGTAATTTTAGATCTGCTCGTTGTTGGGCAAAGGGGAGGATTTTAGGGGTATTTTAGGAAGGTCAACCCAAATTTTGCACTTCCTTAAAAATCACCTCCGGTCAAACCGGGAAGGTGGTTTTAGGACGGAGGGAGTATAAAAGAAAATATAAAAAAGAGTAAATTCCATAATTGGTCTTTTATAACAAATAAATTTCTATATTTACTCCTATATTATCAAATATTACTTCCATAGTCCTTTTATGGATATTTTTTCACATATGGTCCTTTTTTGATCTGTTGGTGTTATTTTAAAGGCTAAAAGTATATTTTGACGTCAATCCTATGTCCGGTGACGTATTCTGATATTTGTTAGACAGATAATATAAAAATAATGACTATGGTTGTGAGTTAAGATTCCAACAAAAAACCATATTTGTAGACTAGGATGTTAGTAGAAAGTGACTCTAGTTCACAAACGACACATCAGGAACGACCTTTAGAATTGTGTATGACAACAAAAATATATTATCATTGTGAAATTACATTTTTAGTCCTTCAAACCAACACCAACATGATAGAAGATCAAAATTAAGACTATTCGTAGAAAGATACCTGTAAAAGAAGGACAATCAGAACAATATTTGATAATAGAAGACTAAATAAGGAAACACTCATATTATAAACTATAAAAGACCAATTATTGAACTTACTTCATAGAAAAATGAAGAGTAAATTCCATAATTGGTCCTTTATAATAGGGAGGTTTCCATATTTAGTCCTCAATTATCAAATATTACCCCCGTAGTCCTTTTTTTAAGGGGACCTTTCCACAAATGGTCCTTTTTTTATCTTCTGTCGTGTTGGTGTTAATATAAAGGCTAAAAATATAATTTGACGTCAACATTATGTCTAGTGACGTGTTCTGATATTGGTTAAGCGGATAACACAAAAATAATGACTATGATTGTGGGCTAGGATTCTGACGAAAGATCACATTTGTAGACTATAGTTGTCGTAAAAAACGACTGTAATTCACAAATGACGCAAATGGAAACAGCCTTTGGAATTGTGTATGACAAAAAAGATATATTATCATTGTGAAATTACACTTTTAGCCCTCAAATTAACACCAACATGATAGAAGATCAAAAAAAAGACTATTTGTGGAAAGGTACCCATAAAAGAAAGACCACTTGGGTAATATTTGATAATAGAGGACTAAATAGGGAAACCCCCTGTTATACAGGACCAATTATAGAATTTACTCAAAAATGAACTAACAAATTTATAGAAGGATATAATATATGGACAATCGGATATAATTCTGCATCCATTTGGGTTCAAGAATGAATATTTAGATCTAGAAAGAGATTTATCGTTGTGCCTAGGTGGAAGCGCCGCCACCTAAAAATTAGCGGGGTTGCTCGTCGCAGCCGCGGCCGGTGCTCGTTCGGACGATGGGATTTACCGGCGTCGTCGATGACGGATTATCATAAGTTGATGAGGGGACGGCTGTATGCGTTTAACAAGACGGAGAGAAATGGGCTTCGCCAAAACAGGAATTGAATTTAACCCAATGGACCTATAAAGGATATAAGCCAAATATCACATTTTCCGATCCAGACCGGATTATTACGCTCTTGGATCTGGATCTGTCGAACCGGTCCATTTTGATCTGGTTCAGGTTCAAAAAATGATATGGGCAAGCTCTTGAATTACCTTATTTACTAATTTGTACATCAATAAAAAATACAAATTACATTATTCAAAGTTAAATAAAAATTTTACAAATATTATGTCTAATATCAAATGGTTATTGAAAATATTCAGACAAACATAAGTTATCAATAAACCGTAATAGTAACTAAAAAAATATTGACGGGAAGTGTATGTTTATTAATGTGAAGGGAACCGTGTTTGACTAACACAGTTTTAACAATTACACAATATCGTGTTCGTTGAACACTGTTTTATGATTTCATGACCAACACTATCAAGGAACCCAATTATTACGTACTCCAAACACATTTTACACTAAACAAAATTTTAGACGGACTAAAAGTAAAAAATCAATTATTTTACGAGGATATAAACATACTTAACCCTTAAAATGTTATGAACATCTCAACTTAATTGTCAAGAAATAACTCAACCAAAAGTTGCGTTCAAGCTTATGGTTTTGACCTTTTAGGTCCATGAAAAGTTTTTATTTTATTAAAATTAAATTCAACTAAAAATTCAAAATTGTGATTGCGATATAGTAAGCTTTATGCTCCAACGTGGTAAGAGGACCGTTTTCCAAAAAATATGTAGTACTTCCTCCGTCTCGTAAAATATTTTCTGTTTTGACTATTTTGGGGAAAAACTATAGAAATTTTACCAAAATGAAACGACAACCGTTGAAACGAGTAAGGATTGTGAAATATTAAAATGGGTAGGGCGTAGAAAGTAGTTGATATATGTTTAGTTAGATTTATAAAACTTAAAAGCAATTGTGTCTATTTAGCCCAAATTGAAATATTTTATGAGACAAGTAAGATGTGAAAGTTGAAAATTTTATAGGACAGAGGTAGTACATTTTTTAGGGATGACTTAATTAAAATTTTTTAGATGAATCAAAAATAAAGAACCATATATTTTACATAGTCAAAACCATATTTAACCTTTTAAAAAATTAGAGTCTTTTCAACTTTATTGTGAAAGAACTAATCAACAAAAAGTTCAATCTCATGATTGAATGACCAGAAACTATATAATCATAATACTTACGGAGTAGCCGGTGGACGTTGCGCAGTTGGCAAAGGAAAAGAGTGTCAAGGGGTAAGGCTCAAGTGCCAGATGTAAGCTACAATATTTGTCACCAATCTGCAATCAAATTTCGATTTAACTCCAACGTCTAGCCAGGTATGAGAAGACCCTCGGTAATGAGACTTATCTTTTTTTTCTAATATACTTAATGAGTATATAGATTTCACTTTCATCGAAGTTTTTTTTTTACTTGATGAAAATTGGCACCCCACCTTTTGTTGTCTACTTTGGTGATAAAGCAAAAGCAAGAAAGATAATGGGAAAAAATAAACCAAAAAAGAGAGAAACAGTGACTTTGAATGAAAGACATACATAAAGGCTCTCCAAGCTAAGCTCCATCATTCAAATTTATAGTATAGATCCCTCTCTATATAGACTCTCTATCTATACACACATCTCTCACATCTCTCTCTAGCCAAATGTTTGAACAAATATTTGATCAAGAAGTGGAGGGCCTCATAAAGCTTAGCTTAAAATAGCTTATCAAAAAACAAAAACAAAAAAACGAAGACAACGATCGATTTCTGAGGTTCATGTTAGAACAATTAAAGAACTAGGGTTTTCTCCTAAAAATATTGATTTTTATTGTAAATCCTAAAGATAATATTCCTTGATAAAGTAAGGAGCTAATTAACTACGTAATGATTTTAGTCATGTATACATCATTTTGAAGTTGGTCTTCCGCCATTTAATTATCCACTTTCTACTCCCTCCGTTCCTTAAAACAATTCCCAGGCCAATTTGACTTTGGACCAAAATAAGAAAAATATAATTTTGGTTGATTTTTTAATTTTGTCTCTGATGTGATGGGTAAAAGTAAGATGTGATAGTTTGGTTATGAGAGAAAAAGTATGATGTGATAGGTATAGTAGGAAAAAAAAGTAGGGGTAGAAGTGGTTTTTTAATAGAAAGTGGAAGTGTTTTAAAGAATTGGAAAAAAATGAAAAGGGAAGGGTTTTATGGAACGGAGGGAGTATAATATTCTTGGGTGCTTTTATCATGGACCATTAGTCTATCCTAGATTGCATTTAATTTGTGCTATCCTTTTTAACATAAACAAATTGATATAAAATAAATTAAATAAGTGAAGTATGAGTTAGTGAATTGTAGTTGGGTCCAAGAGCTAGTGGAGAATTAAAGCATAATTCTTTGTTAAACTATCTGTGTTTCTTTTATAGTGAAGTAGCAAATAGTTAATGCTATTTTCGGTACACATTATGCGTAATCTAGAAGTAACCGTTCTGTGTTTTAAACATATATCGGTCATGTTGCGCACATCTAACCCTTCTTACCCCACAATGGGCATGCGAGAGCCGCCTTTCAGGCACTGGGTAATGTTTTTGTTATTGTTCTTATTTCTTAATATTATGAACTGAAAATAGTAGGAAGATAGTTTTAGGACGGTGTGAGAATACTCACAAACACTTTTGACATGTGTTAAAGGAATCATTTTTACTTCAAAAAAACTTTGTTTCAACATAGAAAGTTAGTCCAAAAACTTTAGCCACACCAAAATCAGAGCTGCATATATACAGGCCAACTTTTGGAATTTGCAAGAAGTGTATTAGAGAGAGATAGAGAGAGAATGCATTATATATAGGAGGAGGGAGGGGAATGGATAGAGGTGTGTGTTTTTATAATTAATAATTTGGAGAGGCGGCCAATTAGCTTAGCTTAATTAGCTTGTAAAGCCAGCCATAATGCCAACACTACTACTACTACTACCATGACCATGAGGCCTCCTCCTCCCACACATCATCATCATCATCATCATCATGATTCTGCTGCTGCTGCTAATAATAATAGTACTACTCCACCTTTATTGGATCCTCATCACCATCATCATGGTCATCATCAGCACCATCATGCCCACAATTGCCTCTTCTCACTCCCATCATCATCATCATCATCATCATCTACTCATCATCATCATCATCATGATTCACTGCCACTTCCAACTTGTTGGATGATTAACAACAATGATAATAACAATAATGATGATACCCAACAACACTACCTCCCTGATCCTCTTCCTCCACACTCTTGGAGCCAACTATTCTTGTAATTATTTAAGTTTCTCCCGGCCTCCCCTACTATTCCTTCAATCAACCCATCATTAATTCATTTTCTTTCATTTTTCTTTAATTATATACTATAATTAAATAGGGGAGGGTCATCGTCAGCAGCGGTGGCTGAACGGAAGGAGCAGGAGGAATGGGTTGGGCCCCAGCCACCCGGCCACGGATGTCCGACGACGACGACGGCAATTTCAAACCAACCAATAAATATAATCAACTCATCATCAGCAAGGAGCAGCTATAAAGTACGTACTCCCTACCTTTTAATTACGGAGTAACGCTATATACGTACTTGCGTGCAGTACGGTAGTAAACCCTTACCTTAATTAATTCCACTAATAATAATTAATACGGAGTAATAAATACTCCCTCTGTTCTTTAAAACCCTTCCGCCCTAAATATTTGCGCACCTCATTAAATGCTTTAAATTTTTGATTCCAAAGTCAAAATCAATTTGTGTGGTGCAACTAAAGAGGGTAGGGGTGTGTTCGAGTCGGTGTGTGGTGGGGGATTTACTCCCATGTAGTCTCAAAAATAATGTAATTCAATTGATGATATGTGAAGGTCTATACTTATTTTATGGATCTTATTATATAAATATCATTAATAAATTGGGTTTTTGAAAAAAACAAAAGATCTCTATGCCAACCATTAAAAATGTGAAAATATACATATTTCACATGTAGATTTTAGGAACATAGAAGCACAACTCTTAATAATACTCCGTAATATTTTGGCTTGTTTTGGCTGAAGTGTAACAACAAATTAGCTAGTGGTGGGGCACCTTCTAAAAAGCCTAGAGTACAACAAGGTGCAACAGTAGCAGGAGCAGCTTCTTCATCAGCAGCTTCTCAATCTATCAGCTTCAAGGTAATTAAATTATTAATTCATGCCACTGTATGAATGCCATATGTGAATTGTATCTACTCCAATCCTTTCCCCATCGTTCAACTCCTTTATCTTTTTTTTTTCCTTGCTTTTCATCCAACTTAATTTTATTCCATTATTTTTAAGCAAGTAGTACTCCGTATTATATATTGTCATAATGCTCATAATGTTGCTTTTCTTGATTGTCTTCTCCTTCATATATATATATATATATATATATATATATATATATATATATATATATATATATATATATATATATATATATATCATTATTCTTTTTTATACTATTTCTCTCCCAAAAAATATGTTTAGGTTTTACTCCCTCCGTTCTCAAAAATACTTCCTCTATCATTTTTTCCACTTTCAACAAAACACTTCCCATTTCTATTAAAAAATCATTTTTACCCTTACTTTTTCATACTCTACCTATCACATCATACTTTTTCTCTAATAATTTATCCATCACATCTTACTTTTACCTATCACATCATGGACAAAATTGGAAATCAACTACTCCCTCCGATTTTTAAAACACTTCCTCTTTCATTTTTTTCACTTCCAACAAAACACTTCCACTTTCTATTAAAAAACCACTTTTACCCTTACTTTTTCATACCCTACCTATCACATCATACTTTATCTCTAATAATCTATCCATAACATCTTACTTTTACCTATCACATCAAGGGCAAAATTGGAAGTCAACTACAATTTAATACTTCCTTATTTTTACACAAAGTCAAAATAGGAACACTTTTTCCAAACGGAGGGAGTATAATTTAACACTCCCTTATTTTTGCCCCAAATCAAAATGGGAAGTCTTTTTGCAAACGGAGGGAGTACTTTTTCTCGGCAAACTTTATAAACTTAGCTTTGACTACAAATATACTCCGTAGTTATTAATAGTTAAAATGTATGTACAAAAAAGATTATCAAATTGTCGCATTGGAGAATATAATAAGTCAAAAGCAAAGACTTTTTTTACGATATACTTCATCCGTCCTAGAGTATTTTTCTATCTTTGACTTTTTGTAGTCAATCAGAATCAACTTTTGACCTATAAATAGTTACTCCGTAAAAATTAGATGGTATTTTAATTAGATAAAAAGTATTTTGAAAAAAAATTACAAAATAAATCTAATAAAATTATTACTCTTGTATCAATACATGATGTAAATTTTATTTAACTAACAGACAAAGTTTAGCAATTTGGATTGCAAAACGTCAAAACTGAACAAATGATTTGGGACAAATAGGAATTAGTATCATTTTCTCTCTTTATCATTCAATCAAATCAATGTTCACCCTTTTTTGTCCATTCTTTAACTTTCTTTACGTACAATATATATTCTCGCAGGTGAGAAAGGAAAAACTAGGGGATAGAATTACTGCTCTTCACCAACTCGTTTCCCCATTTGGGAAGGTAATGAAAGAAAAAATTAATGGGAAGATTCAAATAATAAAATTTTATTATTTAAAGATATAGAGAGTGCATAAAAACACTCTCACTATATATAGAGAGAATATATATGCTAAGCGATTTCAAATGTAAAGATATATTAGGTAAAAGAAATATATTAGGGAGGTGACATGATTATATAATTTTATCAATTATTTACAAAGAATAAGTAAAGAAAGTTTTTGATCACATGAAAAGTAAATGAAAATAATATTGAGAAATTTACCAAAATAGGACTAAAACATAATGACTTTCCCAATATAGGACCATATGTTTTTATTTCCCAATGTAGGACATTTGGTCATTCTCAAGTAGTCATTATTCAACTAAATGTCCATCATTACTAGACATTGTTCCTTCCACTAGGTCATTATTAAGTCCTATTTAGGGAATAAAAAAGTTTAAGTCCTACATTAGGAAAGTCATTATGTTTTAGTCCTATTTAGTGCAAATTTCCCAATATTTTAGGACGGAAAAAATATTATACTTTATCCATCTGTATTCAGCTATCCACTTTCTAAAAATTCTCATTTTAAAAAATAAATTTGAAATGTCAAATGAAATACTCCCTCCGTCCCTGAAAATCATTCTCCTTTCTTTCTTCGTTCTTCTCAAAATATTTTTTCTCATTTCTATTAAAAAGTACGTTTGACCCTACTAATTCTTAACTTACATATCACATGACATCTATTCACTATTAATATGTCTATCAAATCTTACTATTATGAATCACATCCAAAGAATACTTTCCTAAATACTTTCCTTAAATTTCTTATAAATTAAAATTTCTCATGTTTTCAAAGGAGAAGGAAGTATATCAGTCAAATGAGTGTATCACTCACTTATATCAATCATGCTCATAATCCATCTATGAGATATTTTAACAATTCGTAATAATTCTTTTTATTTAATATGAGAGGTAATGAAAAAACAAAAGGAAGAAAATGAATAACTAATTAAATGTAGGCCTTTTAGGATGAAACACAAACACTTACATTATGTTTGGTTCAAGGAATTTGAGAGGGAAAAGAAAAGCAAATGAGGAGAAACACATTTTTCTCATTTGGTTAGAGGAAAAAAAAGAAAAGTAGAAGAAAAATAAAATAAAAAGGAAAAATGTATATAGAGAAGGGAGAACCAAATTCCTCCCATTTTGGTGAGGAAACTGAGAGAAAATCATTTTATTTCTTTTCCTTCCAAATTTCTTGAATCAAACATAGTGTTAATGAAAGATAGGAAATACTCTAATAATAATGGACTAATTGGGGAACTAAGACTGCGTTTTGTTTGCCTGATCTAATATGATTTAATTTCAAGAGTAACTAATCGTAGTGGATTGAAGATTCTGATATGCAATGAAGACGATACTCCCACAAATACTACACATAATGTAGTATATAAAGAAGTCTTTCGAAATTTGTAAAACATTGATGTTCTGTACTTTGAAATGATATAATCTCTATATTCTATTGCATTTCAGTTCTTATCATTGAAAAATGATTTGAATTTAAAAACATAAAAATGACCCGTGCAACGCACGTGTGTGATACTAGTAGTGTTAATGAAAGATAGGAAATACTCTAATAATAATGAACTAATTGGGGAACTAAGACTGCGATTTGTTTGCCTGATCTAATATGATTTAATTTTTTGAAAATCTAACTTGATTTGATTGTAATTATATTTAAAGCTATTTATAACCTGATCTGATATGATCTTAATAAGAATAAGTAAAACGCTTAAAAGTAAGTTGAACAGAACATAATTTATGGTGACCAAACCAGAACCTTTTTTAAAGACTATTCTCAATTTGTTTAGGTTGATTCCAATATTTTAATTACCAACAAAAAATGTGCTATGTTAAAATATATTCTCCATAATATGTTTTCAAAAAAAAACAATAATAGGTAACCAGTTCAAAATTTGAGTTTGATGTTAGTGAATGGAGATGGTCTAACAATACACAAACATGGTTTCTGATTTTGCAGACTGACACAGCTTCAGTGTTGTTAGAAACTATTGGATACGTTAGGTTTCTTCAAAGCCAGATTGAGGTATTATTAAAACATGCTTCATTCACATCTTCTCGTATAAAAACCACATTTCTAATTATTAGCGTTAGCGTTTTATATATTTTTTATTTGTGCATATTAATTTACAAAGTTTTACTATTAAAACTATTGTATCGTATCATAACATTTATAAAAATTGAAGGAGCACAAACACTGGCACTGTATTTGGTTCAAAGAAAATGAAAAGAAAAATGTTTTTTCTTGTCTGGTTGGTTAGAGATGTAAAGAAAATTGGAAGAAAAAGAAAAAATCAAATTTATTATATTTTGGTGAAGAAAAAATCAAATTTATCAAACTGTATTATTTTCTTTTTCTTCCAAATTGTTTGAACCTAACATAGTGTAAACTGTAAAGTTAATGCTAAAGAGAACATGTATATGTGTGTATATAAAATTCACTTTTTACTCTAAAGAAACTTTCATGGAATTGGCTCATTCATTCATAAATGCTTAAAGCTCCTTTCCTTATCGCCCTTTCTTATATTTCACTTACTTGGGCAGGCCCTTAGCTTGCCTTACTTGGCCACTGCAACACCTGAAAGCCACCAACAATCTATGGTAACACTATTAATCAATTTAACAATTCATATGATATATATGATCATCAATCAATACACTAATATCTTGTATGCAAATTTCAAATACTCCTTCCGTCCCAAATTTGTCGTACTCTTACACTAGTCATTGATCAAATTTTTTCTTCTTTTACTACATATTTTCGTTAATCATTTGTTCAAGTAACATAGTTAATTATATATGGTTGTAGAAAGTATTTCATATAGTTATAGAGTACATGTAATATGTCGATCATTTGTATTGAGTTCAATATTTACCCTAACTCACAAAAGATTATTAAAGATCAAAGAAGATATGACTAACTTGTAATTTAATGATATATACTCATATTATAAGATATTTTTCAAATGATCATGAAGGTATTGTCGAGTGAAGAATCAAAGAAAGACCTGAAGAGCAAAGGGTTGTGCCTTGTTCCAATATCTTCAATGTTACACGTGGGCGTGGACGACAACGGTGAGGATTACTGGGCTGCAGCCACCATTGGTGGCGTTTTCCGGTGACCAAAAAACAGATATGGAGTACTCCTTAATTAATCAAAGTAATCGTCCCCGAGGACAATATGTAGTATAAATGTACTTATAGTAGCTATTATAACATCATGAGCAGTCAATCTATTAAAATTAAAAGCTTAATTGCTCAAGATGTTATACGTATTATAATTCTTTTCCAAATTTAACATGTATTGTCTATAATAATAATAATAATAATAATAATAATAATAATAATAATAGTAATAATAATAATAATAATAATAATAATAATATATGACCTTATGCTCTTAATTAAGAATATTAAAGAATATAATTGTTAATGTATCATAAGTTCATCATGTAAAAATGACCTGAAAAGGTAACTTATATTTGAAAATATCAGAGAATTATTTTTTTATTGAACGAGAGACTGATTATGATTGTTTTTAAATCATTCTATTTTACTTAAAGTATTTCACCATTTCAGGTGATTAAACTAATACACCTCACTTATAGAGTATGTTTGGTTAGAGCGGAGGGGAAGGAATGGATGGGAAGGAAAGGTGAAGGATTCCCTTCACCTTGCTTGGTTGGGAGAGGAAGGAAATGTTTTATTTTCAATATTTTATATATATTTTTCATTTTTTAAACTTATTTTGTTAACTATTTAAAATTATTATCAATCTTTTTTATTTAATAATTCTTTCATTTTATTTTTTTATTATTTTATTTTTATTATTATTTTTATTGTTTATCCTACATTTTAATTTTTAATTTCTTATTTAATTTATTCTTTTTAAATTTACTTTTATACACACACACACACACATATTATTATTATTATTTACTATTATTAATTATTACCTTTTCTTCTATAATTTTTTTATTATTTTTATTATGGGTTTTTATTTTAGTTTATTATTATTTTTAGTTTTCATTTTAATTTTAAATATTTTTATATGTAATTTTATTTTTATTTATTAATTATTTATTTTATTAATATACATTTTTGTTATTATAAATTATTTTGTTCTACTATAATGATTTATTTTATTTTCTTATTATTTATTTAGTTTTTTTTGGCATTACTTATTAATTATTACTACTATATATTTATTTATTTTAATTTTATTTTATATTATTTTTTATTTATAAGGAGAAAATGACATAAGAAGAAGAGAATAACAAGAGGAAAGAAGATTCTGTCCGATTTGGAAGGTAGGGGAGGAAATTGAAGCTAAAATTTTAGATTCCTTCCCCTCCATGCTTTTAAACCAAACAAAGGGAGGGATTCAAATTCCTTTCCCTCCAACCAAACAGACCCATAATGTTTAGCAAACAAGATTGAAAATATTTATTATAAAACTCATATCAATTTATTGGATTCAATTAAGCTAATTGCTTAGCTTTACAAACATAGCCATTATCTTTAACTCTGTTTTTAGTTTATCTATTATCGATGACTGGTACACACATTCATATATTAAAAAGGTTTCATCTTGAATTTTTGTTCAAACTCTTTAGATTAAATTTCAAACAACTTTTGATATCATAGGAGAGGTTTAGAGTCGACTTTCGTATCTAAGATATTAGTGAGCAATTAATAAACAAGCAATTTTTGTGAAACTTTTCTTTTGTGTCAAAAGTGATTGTATCAAACTTTACCCAAAGCAAAACATGTCTTTTTTCTTCTGAAAGTAATGTACTTTCTCTAACTTATACTCTGGGGTATCTTTCTTCTCATTTTTCTTTTTGAAATGTCCTTTATCTTTCTTCTCATTTCTTAAAACGAAAAGCTAAAATAATCAAAATGACTTCTTTATTCTTACTTATTATAGCTATTTACTACCCAAATACCCCACATAACCCTCCCTAATTACTACCCCACCATCCAAAACTTGGATTCCACATGTTTGCATATGTAAAATTGTTGGTTCAGAGTTTGAAACACTTGAACAAAAGTTCCTTGAGGCTTTTCTGATCGGTACAGATGACAAACTCTCGGCCCAACAAATATTTTCGCCATTTGTGAACGGCCTCCATAATAGCATATAATTTCTTATGATAGGAAAGTCCTCTCAAGCAAAGTAATCACCGTCTACTCCTTTTGTATATACTGCATGATGCGATGTATACTTGGTTTTGTTTTAATTTTAATGTGAGCTTGTTTTGATCTTTAATTTCTTTGTATGAATTGAAATTAAGCATGTTATGATATTGCTATGACATTTAATGTTCTTGGGTGAAACTTGAGCTTGTTGTGATATGTTTATGTTCACGTTTATGGGTTACAAAGCATGTTGTGATATTTAAATTGCTGACGTTTATGAGTTACTAAGCGCGTTGTGATGTTTTGGAAGCCTTTTGTAATCTTAGAGGGAAATGTACAACATGAGTGTTTTCTTTTTCAAATTTAGTTTATGTTTTGATTAATAATGTTGGGTATGATATGCAAATTGCTTATTAGCATCATGCCACTGTTACACTTGCATTTCTATTAGGGCATAGTATTAGGCCATCAGATTCTCTTCAACTTATTTATATCAGAATCAAATCGAACCAGATCAGATTAAATCAAAATTTATTTCAATTTGATCAAAAACTATTTAGATCAACTAAAAAAATATGACCTTAGTGTACAAAGTAGGGTACAATAGAATTTCCAAAAATTAAACCAATACGTGTAGAGTCACCTTTGGCGCCCGTATTTCCGTTAGTCCCGCAGTCCCGGACACGATCTTAGCTAGGGTTTTGCCCTTACATTGGTCTACACTTCTACTAGTCGAGGCAAATCAGGCTGAGAATACAATTGTTGCCGCAACGAAGAGATGGGGTCGAGAGAGAAGGACCACACCACGCCACATCTCAGTAGCCTGGTAGTGCGACCCACCGAAAGCGGTGGAGGCGGTGGGGGAGTAAATGCTTCCGGCGGCGGCGGCGGCGGCGGCGGAGCTAACGACTACGAACCAGGTGAGGTTCGTAGCGGTCAACCTGCTTACGCTCGCTCCGATCGTTTTCTTGATAGCCATGGTTCGTTGTTAAGTTCAATTTTTTTCGACCATTCGTTGATATGATTATCCCATAATCAATTTAGAAGCATAGGTCTTTTGGTCTGGATTTCGGCTATTGCATATTACTGAAATATATGCTTTATTTGCTCTGTATCTGTTGAAGAGGTCACCCAGTTCAGAACTTATGCTCTTTTTCCATTTGCCTGCTTTCCAGAGAAAGCATCTTTTTCTGCCCACTAAATATTTCTTGAATCGCATTCTTTTGATTTTTAAGGATGGTCATAAAGTGTGTTCCTTTCGTATTCATCTTCAGAAAAAGTAAATGCATGGATGAGAAGGTTTTTCCAGCATTGGAGTTTGGTCTCTGTGTTGAAAATGTCTTTTAAATTTAAAGATGTAGTAGATTACCTTGTTAGAGTTGTTACTTTTTTCATAAACCTTTTCAGTAAGGTGCTTGTAGAAACTACTCCGTATAAATCTCTAGAGAAGTTATTATTGTTGGGGGGAAACTATAGCATTTCATTATGCGGTTGGGTCATTTAATCCACGAATACCTTTTCCCTGCATTTGTCAGTGTGCCAGTAACAGCTAGTGCATTTCATGCACCATGTTGCTGTTTAAGAGTCACATATGGACTGTTCAAATTTGAACAAATTTTGCTATTGTGTTTACAGCTTTGAATAGTTGCCTGGTGACAGAACTTGAATCTTGATGAACGCACTTTGGTATGGTTACTGGTGATGGATTTGGTCTGAATGTTTTTAGGAGTATTGTGTTATAAAATATGCATGCATATGGAATATAACCTTAAACAACTTACTCAACCAACAGTTTATGATGCCTGGAACAACTACTTGGCTCTTAAAGGAAGTGGCACACTCTTCTGGGTGCTGGTGATGGATGTGATATGAAATATTGGTTCTAAGGGGGGTTTGAATGGTAAAGGTGCATGTGGAAAATGATCCGGAAGAACTTGGGTGCATGTGAGTCAGGGACATTTAATGAGATCTTTATTTATGGTCAGCCATGTATTCAATCTCATGAAATTATCATCTAGAATTTGAGATTTTCACATAAGGTGGTTTGGGAAGATGTTGGGCACTACCATTCACATTGTTTTTTGCTAATGCTTATGTTGGGGGTACTACTAATAGTAATGACTATCACCAGTCCATACATTTCTGATGAGGGATATAATCATATAAATTTATAACATCTGGTGGGTGGTTCCAGACTTCCGATGGTATTAAGCTGAATGTGAATGAAGACACATATTTGGTCTGTGATGCTGTGGATTGGGCAATTGACATCCAATGTTGTGGGTGACTTTTAGTTTCGTAATTTCAGATGGTTAACTTGGGAGGGTTAATTGTTCTTGCCAGCTTACTCAAGCAAGTTTCCATTAGTTTGTATCATCCAGGAAATATTTTTAAGCAAAACATTTTGATATGAGCTTTTGTTTTCTCTTGTATTTGCTGGATGAGGCACAAGGTTTTCATTTTTTGTCCTCGTTTCAGTAGTACATAAAAAATTTAAGTTGATTATTGCTCAAATGAGAATTGGTTAAAACTATTTGTTTCATGTAGTTTTACAGTCATGCTTGACCGTCTTTTCCTATTTAATCTTACCACTTTTACTGAAACCAAATGTTAAAAATAATTTTAGTGGAATTAGAATTGTGATTTACGAATTTTTTCTGTACACTAGTGTAGCTGGAAACTGGGATGGTGATCACATTTGAGCCAGTAATAGTCTCCGTAAGCAGCGTTGTCTTTGATAAAACAGACTTGGGTTTACAGTGGTGTGGTTTGGGAGAGACAAGTATCAATTTTTTTATGATTTTGGGTCGATGGTATCGGGTTTTGAACTAAGTAACTGTTTCGGTTGTATCTTGAGGATCACGAACTGTTGGATTTGATGGGTGGATATAACTACTCTTTGGTAAGGTGCTGTTATTGATATCCATGACAAGCCATTCCAGAGGTAATTTCAGGGCAGTATTCCACTGTGGCCAATGTTGTCGCAACATTACTGTTCTTCTTGACAAGAAGATCTGAATGGGTTGCAAGGTTTAGCTTAAGTAGGAAAATATGATTTGGATCTGTTACAGTAGCATGATATGCTCTCTTATGTTCTGAGCTTCCCCGGTCTTTTTCAGGATATAGAATGCACACAAGTTCTGTTTCTCCCGTACGCCGTAGAAATGCGGATCACAGGTACAGTCTGGATTTTGACCATTCAAAGGGTCTATCACATAGCTGTGGATTTGGCAGCGGGAGAGATACTAGTAGTAGATATAAAGACTACTCGCCCCCCTATAGTCGTGGAAGGGAAAGTGGCAGATTCCATGTTCGAGGCTATGATCGGCACAGTAATGTTCCGGGGTCACTTAGAGGAGAAGTTGTGCCTAGAAATAATCCAAATGTACGTCCAAGAGAAGGCGACTGGATATGCTCTGATCCTTTGTAAGTTTCCTTTTGGTTCTTTGCATTTACTTGTGATGTTGGTCATTTTAAATCTATGCATAACTGTGTAGGGTCAGTGTTCGTGAAATGCTATGGGTAGAAAATATAGATAAATGTGGGGGGAATTGGAAGGAATGAAAGAGCATGGGAAAATAAAATGTTGGTTCAAAATCAATGAAATTCATTTTTTATTTAATTCAAACTCAATTTTTTTATTATCTATTTTCTTCTATGATCTATCATATAAGGAATTAGAAATGCTTCCTGGTGGCAGAGGTAAGATTTGCATACATCTTACCCATAGATCCTAGTTTCGGGTGGGACATGCGTGGTATGTTTGGTTTTCAACTTTATATAGAGACCACATGTAATAGTCTTAAATCATTTTCATAGTTCATTTCTCTTTGCCTTTTGGGAGGTAAACCCACACATAGGAAAGTAACTTTCCATGACATTAATTCCCTTTTCACTTTTGTTTTCTGGAATCCAGAAACAGCACATGTAAACCATCTGATAGTCTGGTTTCTTGTGTTTACTTGCTCAGTAAACCATCTGTAATTCATGCAGGCGTGTAAAGTTCAAATCCTCCCCACCTTGTCTATTTCCAGTTCTTCTTTCGAATAGTTCTTTCATACCGTGTGCTTTGATATATCTGTATAGGTGTGACAATTTGAACTTTGCTCGGCGAGAGTACTGTAACAACTGCAAGAGACCACGTTATGCATCTGCTGGGAGTCCTAGGAGAGGTCACCCTCCTCCTCCTCCTCTCCCACCCATCTCTCGGCCCCTTCATGTCCCCTTAGCGGATCGTTCCCCTGGAAGGCTCATGAATGGTGGTGGTTATAGATCCCCTCCGCGAGGCTGGGAGAGGGGGGATGATTCTAGAGACATTAGGGCTGGGATTCTTCCTCCTCCTCCCCCTAGGTATGAAAGCAGCAGGTTCCATGACCATAATAATCCTCCATTGCGTAGCAGAGACAGGCTGGATTTCCCACAAGATGATTACCGGGACAGCAGGGGCAGTAGGTTTGACAGGCCGCTGCCGCTTGACTGGGGGACCCACAGAGACCGGGGGAGGGAGTCGTATTTGGGTGAGAGGAGAGTCTACGAAAGGCGACTGCCATCTCCACCACCACCTCCCCTGCCGCCCCGCGGCGGCAGCGGTCACTGGCAGTCTCGTGAAATCAGAGAGAGGAGCCGCAGTCCGCTGATGATGAGGGACAGGGCCCCACCACCGCAGAAGGACTACCGCCGCCCTATGTTTGTGGACAGAGGGCGAGATGATCGGCGCGTGGGGCGTGACGCGTATTGAGCTCTGGGTTTTTGATTTGTGTTGTTACGAAAGAAGAAACCTTACTTGACTTTTGTTGACGATGCGAATTGGTCTTAACTATGTCCCTGAAATACTTCCCTTGCCGGCTTATCCACATTTATATGATTTTTTTTTTTATATTTTATTTTTAAAGAAGCCCCATTGATCAAATTGAAATTCTTATATAGAGTGATTTTTGTGTTTTAGGGCAATTTCACTCTTATCATTGTTGGTTACTTGAATATTGTTGATATTACTCATTGTTTAGGGCAATGCGTGACACTAAATGCAAACATAGACTAATTAAAATTATAATTTTCATTATATTTACTACTCCTAGGTTTATTCTTGCCTTTTTTGTCCGTTTTAGAATAAAGTTTTTAGTACATTTAAAAAAAATGTAAGATTAAAAACATTCTTTTGAATAAATAAGTTCCAATCATCTATTTTTAATGTTTTGATTGTATTTTTTTTTTTTTGAAGTTTTTTTTGGTGTAAGGGTTCTTTGTGGTTAATGAGATAAACTAGAGTTTGAAAAAGACATGACTCATAAATGAGAGTTATGAAGGATTGATGGGGATAAGCTTGTTTCAAGTCCCAAGCATTTGTGGGAGCCTTGACACTTATCAAATTTGTGTTTTGGGGGCATGACATTTTGTGAAATGGGAAATATCATGTCTGGTAAGAAAAGGATGGAGTTTGATTTTGTTATTGAACTTTTTTCCACCATTTGTTTTTAGTGGATTAGCAAGATATATTTGGTTAATGATATGTAAGACTATGATCAAATATTGGAGTACTAAATATTGTATGAGACAAAGCTAGTGCAACATACAAAAAATAAAGAAATAAAGAGTTGAAACAAATGCAGTATACACATAAAATGCCAAAAAAATAATTATTTGGTTCAACTAATTTTCTTTTTTGAATTCTTTTCCTTTTTTCTAAAGGAGAAACATCTTATTAAGATTAAAACGTGATCTACTTATTATAAAAGGATATTCAATATTTTTACGATCAAATATTCCCTGTGATTATTAATGTCAATTAAAAGAATCATTGTAAAAATTTTTTAGTATCAACAATCATATTTTAGTAGGAAAGAATCATTATAAATTTTATTTTGATATAAATTCTACAAGATATTTTAATTAGGTAGATAAAGAGTCTTCACAACAAAAATAGAAGAGGAATGCTAGGGGTACCCCATTTGGGGTACCCCATTTTGTACACCATGCATCCTAGCCCTTCATTTATTTTTTTTATTTTTAATTTTGTTTCTCTCTCTTGCTTTGTGTGGTGGAGATGGAGGGGGGTACAAATGGGGTACCCCAAATGGTGTACCCCTAACATTTTTGAAAATAGAATCCAACTTCCACAATGCAATACTCCCTCCGTCCTAAAATTAATTTCCTAGTTTTATTTTTGCAGTCAAACTTTTTAAACTTTCACCGTAGATTAAGAAAAAAATACATTGAAATTGCATATAAATTATTAGCAATAGCTTCATTTTGGAATATAGTTTTGAAATATATAATTTTTATAAAATATATTTATATAAAAATTGAGATATTGATGGTCAAAGTGTCGCATTAGAGACCGTGAAAAGTCAAATAAGAAGTTAATTTTAGGACATAGGGAGTACTATATCTTATCCTCAAGAATAAAACACCCGCCATAAACCACATCTCTTTTTGAAAATCCATAGGAAATTAAAATAAAAAATAAAAATACTCCGCTTTAATGACAAAAATCGGTCAAAATGCAATTCTTGAAAGAACTCGCGACGTCATCCGTCAGATCAGCCCTCGAATTCATAGTGGCCGTCCGATCAGAATACCATTTCCAATCACACCCCCAAATTTCGAAAGAGTATAAAATTGAAATTCAAAAGTAAGAGAGGGAGAGGATTCGAAGGAGACTGACTGGGCAACCAAATTTCAGCTTCTTCTCTTCTCTTCTCTCTTTTCTTTCTCTCTGTGTTTTTGTATGTGTGTATGTATATATGCACACGCGCATATATACGGATGTGTATATATGTGTGTATGTGTGTGTGTGTAGGGATCGAGTTTTCTTGATTTCCGGTGAAGTGTAAATTCTTGAGATTCTGGAGCTAGCGTACGGTGGTGGGGTTTATCGCTTTGAAAGATTGAATCTGGGATGTGTGATGACGGGGATTTTGAAACCCGATTTAGGGATTTCGGTTTGGAATTTGAGTTTTCTTGAGGATCTGGTGAATTCTGCTGGTTGAATTTCATTTTGTTTGTTTAGTTTATTGCTATTCTTTCCGCTGTGGTTTTGAATGGAGAAAAGCGAGAGAGGAGATTTGTCTCCGGTTAAGGTTCAATTGGAGGAGCCTTTGACGGCGGCTGCGGAAAAGCTGCCGGCGGAAGTGGATTCCCAGGGGAAGAAGCTCGCGAGGCAGCTGGATTTCGCGCCTTCTGGCGGAGGGGATGGCGGGGGAAGTAGGAATGGGTCGGAGGCAGTTTTCCCAGAGCAGCCTCAGCAGGTTGTGCCTCCTGCGCTGCCGCCTCTTCTGTCACAACTGCCGTCGCATTTACAGTCACTGCAACATTTGTTATCAGTGCAGCCGATGCAGAAGCAACCTTTCACTCCATTTGCTCTGTAAGTCTTTGTAATTCAATGTTGGGATGATCTATTTTGTTGAGCCTTGGGGCTTAGGCATACTCTACTGCTGTTTTTCACAAATAAGACATTTTGCTTTTTGTGACTTCTGCTAATCAAATACAGATGGTTCTTTCCTTGATTAAATTTTGTTTTGGTTGAATGGATGCCGTAGTATCATCTACTCATTAGTATGCCGAAACACCTATTTTTTCAGTCTTTTACTTCTGGTTCTGGAGGACAGGATAATGGGGTTGTAATTTGATCACCAAAACAGATTTGAATTCGTAAATATGTTCAGATGCTTTTACAATATTTGATATTGTGTATTTCAGATTTATTTAGAAATGAAAGAATTAATATGGATCGCGGATTTTGTTTCCTTAAAAGGAAAGGAAAAGATTAGTTTTGAGCAACCCACAAAAAGAAAGTGAGGTGGTAGAAAAGGGGACGGAGGGAGTATTACCTTTGACTGTTTTGGAGTTTTTTTCGTTTTCCCAATCTTAAGTTTATTGTTCCACAATATCAGCTTTATGAAATGCTTAACCTCAAAAAAAGAAATGACCATCTTTTAGCAGCAATTAACATGGTAAAACAGTAAGGTCCTTTGTATAAATGAGACTCTACTTTCAGAGAAGTTTAGGAGGTCTATATCTATTCCTCTATTTGATACTTCCTTTCTAGTTCTATTTCATCCCCAATGAAACTCCCTTGCATTGAGGAAAACTTGGGTAATCATTCATGAAACATTTGCAGGTTGACATTCTATGAGTGACAGTTCTGGATCCATTTTTTGAGTTACTATGCATTCTTTTACTCCATATATTATCATTTGAATTCACATTATGTACACTATGCCTATTGTAATACCTTTTTTTACCTTCCAGGAAACCAGAACCCACACGAGTTAGGCCTAGGCAAAGTACTAACAACACAAAAGATGGCACTCCAAAGAAGCAAAAGCAATGTAACTGCAAACACTCTCGATGTTTGAAATTGTAAGTTTTTTCTGCTAATTTACTTGACAAATTCGACATCAAAGGTATTGATGTATAAAGACTATTCATAAATCTAATTGAAATAGGGTATAGAAAGTACTTGGTCCGTCCTGAGTGTTTGTCCACTTTTGACTTTTGGAACTGTTCATCTAAGCACTTTGACTCATCAAAATCTCTCAATGTGTAAGCCTAAAAATAGTCATGTGTGATCTTGTTTGATTCGTCTTAACATATAGATTATTAATATATAATTTTTATAATTTTTTAATATACAAATTACAAGATAAAATGTATTAAAGAAGTGCATTGGATAGTGTGCAAAAATGAAAGTGGACAAACACTCAGGGACGGAGGGAGTATATGCCAATTCCTTTATCTGTTTGAGGTGTTGTTTATGTGAGGAATTTGTATGTAAGACATATAGGGAGAATGACTTGCATAAAACACAGATAAACTGTAATTGATTGTTTACTAAACCTTCATTTGTTTCTTTATTAAGGTACTCCGTAACTCTCATTATTCTCATTGCAGACATCTCTATTAGACTATTTACCAATATGTATCTATAAAAAGAAAAGAATTAATTAGATGGGGAACAATACGTCTTCTTTTGATATCATTTATGTTGTTTTGCTGGCAAGTGTAGACATGCACCTTTAGGTTGCCACAAAGAATTAATTAGATGGGGAACAATATGTCTTCTTTTGATATCAATAAGTTTTTTATTTTTTTGTTGCCACAAAGAGCAAGCCTTGGTCCAGGCGTGCAACAAAACCTTATTGTCTTTTAGGTTTAAATATATTTAGATTAGATATTGCTTGAATGCTTTACTAAGCTCATACATGTCCATTGCCAATAGAGCTAAAGGAGTCATTTTTTACAATATTTTAGCTTCGTGTAAATATGGACTAAATCAATATTGCAAATTAAACCTCCTTAGATTCCTACTTTCTATGAAGATTTGGGCACAAAATGTAGTAAGGGTCTAATAGAAATAACTTCTCCATTTTTATAGGGGTGAGGTTACGAATATCTAGTCTCCAAGGGAGTTGGGATTTAAATGAGTTTGTTGTTGTTGTTGCCTTACTGAGCTCAACTCTGCAATTATATTTTCTATCAAGAATGTTCACTGTGGACTGACTTTGTATTCTCATTTGGATAACAGTTGATCAGTGGAATCTGTTTTTTTTCTTCAAATCATCTTCTTCTATCTTTTATTAACTGTATAGTCTATGCTCTGATAGACATTTATTTGAGTCAGGTATTGTGAATGCTTTGCATCTGGTATATATTGTGATGGGTGTAACTGTGAAAACTGTCACAACAATGTTGGAAATGAAGCTGCAAGACGACAAGCAGTTGGAGCTACTTTGGATCGTAATTTAAAGGCATTCAGGCCTAAAATTGCAGGCAGCCCTAACGCTGTTCGGGACATTAAGGTACGGCCAACTGAAATTAAGTGGTACTTGAGTTGTAAAATTTAATTACTTTGTGAAACACAGTAGTTTTTTTTCTTATGCTTTGTGGTGTAAATTTTTTAGGAGGAAGCTGGGGATGGTTTAGTCTTGGTAAAGCATAATAAAGGATGCCGCTGCAAGAAATCTGGGTGCCTTAAAAAGTATTGTGAATGCTTCCAAGCCAATATTCTTTGTTCAGAAAACTGTAAATGTATGCACTGCAAAAATCTGGAAGGAAGTGAAGAGAGGAAGGCACTCTTCCGCGGAGATAATCCCAACACCTTGGCATATCTTCAGCAGGCCGCAAATGCTGTAATTACTGGTGCCATTGGAACCTCTGGTTTTGGATCTCTTCCTGTGACTAAGAGAAGAAAAGTCCAGGACATATTTAATGGACAAACAGTGAAAATTCCTGTTGATGCATTAGGGCAGTTCCCCCAGGTGGGTAATGGCTTTTCAATTTTTCTGTTTGATTAAATGCTAAATGTACATTCGGCCATTATTCGGTGTTGTATAGAATCGTGAGTTTATCATTGTTTCCTGTTTCCCAGTAAGCATTTTTATTATTTGGCATTTTACAGAGCAACCAAATTCAAGCTTCTGTTCAACGGGCTCCGATGCCTTCAATTCCCGGTGCCCAAATTAGTAGTAATGCAGCAGCACTAGGCCCTTCAAAATTTACTTACAGGTACAACAAAAATCTTTTGCACCATTTCAGTAGACTAAGTATGTGTTTGGATTTTTAAAAGTGACTTTTGGCATTTCAACTTTTGCTTGTTAATTTTTTACAGTCCAGAAATAATATCCAAGAGTTTGTAAAATTGCACCAAAATCTTTTGAACCATTTCAGTAGACTATGTGTTTGGATTTCTAAAAGTTACTTTGTCATTTCAACTTTTGCTTGTTAATTTTTTACAGTCCATAAATAATGCCCAAAAGTTTGTGGAAGTCAGTTTGGGACAAATTGACTTTTAGAAACTTTGGGGAAGTTCTAGCTCAACCACAGAAGAAATTTGAATGGACAGCTTTTGAAAAATCCAAAGCTCTTTTAGAACTCCAAAAGCACTTTAGAGATTCCAAAAGTGGTAATCCACACACATAACTAACTGTTTCAATTGCTCCATACTGCTGAAGGTCCCTGTTGGCAGACATTATCCAACCACAGGATGTGAAGGAAGTTTGTTCATTCTTGGTCTCCTGTTCAAGAGAAACTGCTAAGATGTTTGCAGGTAGACACATTCTCTCTTTTCTTTTTCCTTACAAATTATCATAAGTGTTACATTCATCTTGACTCTCTCATCTTGATCAACCATCACGCGCTTCCCCCTGCACACTCTTAAATGGGTAATTATATTCTTCCTTTTCCCGGGAGAAAAAAAAAGAGACAAATTTTGATATTTTCATTTCATATACAGAGTGTGTGGTTTTCTCCTAGCTACATTTTTTAATTTGCCTACAGATGAAAAGGATGCAAGAGGGAAGCAAGCAGAAGAGCATAGAGAAGCACTGGCTTCCTCAGCTCAAGATACGATAGAGAATTCTCAAGGTTCTCCAGTAAAGGCTTTACCTGATTGTTGTCCTACCGAGAACCATGTCGAAAAGAGAAGTGAAGATGATGTCTCAGAAGGAAGGCCAATGTCTCCAGGAACACTGGCACTAATGTGTGATGAACAAGAAACGGTACCGTCCCTGCTGCATCATGGACAAAACATGACGGAAGCCTATGCACAGCAGGAAAACATTGTTTTGACAAAATTCCGCGATTGCCTTAACAGGCTCATTACATTGGGGAAAATAAAAGGTAAGTTTATATTTCTTATTTTCCTATGGTTTTTTTACGGAACACTTTTCCTTTCAGAAAAGCCAACAACACATTCAGCACTATACTTGCCAAATGGGCTTTACACACCATATTTTGCATGCTTTCTTGGTCATAAATTAATCCCCTTCTTTTTTCACTTCATTTATTTCACCTTTGTTCATGGTAGAATCACGTTGCTCTTCAATGGCACGAAACCAAAAGGAGCTCTACAGTAATGGTAAGCCTGCTGTTCCATCTCCCTCAAGAACATCTCAAGATGTCGCTGCTTCTGCAACTGCTAGTCCCGTTTTAGTAGTGCAAGACCAAAAGGTCAATCTCCCGGAGAAAACAGACGAGTAGATAGATGCATAGTTGATTTTTTCTTCTTCTTCTTCTTCTCTTTGCATAGTTGCAACTTAAAAATTGTAGAGACTAATAAACAATGCAAAGCATTTCTTTGGTCATTTTTGTCCTCCTTTTCAGCGGTAGGGAACTAACCACACCAGTAACAACTTCAACAGAAAGAGGATCTATACATTCTCCATTAACCGTTATCGATTTCAACAAAAGTTTTACATCTAGATGAATTATAATTGGCATTTTTTTTGTTTGATTTGGTAATTGACCAGAGTGGTGCCTCTTACAAGTGCAAACTAAGTCCTCTAATCTTCTTACATAAGATTAGTTTGACATCATGCCTTTCATTTCAGCTTTATCTTCTTTTTTTTATCAGCTTTATGAATATATGTATCCGAGTATGTATTTTTTTCGAGTTGTGCTATTGTGATTCTAAGAAGTGGAAATGCTCATCATTCCCATGGGCGTTAACATGGTTTTAACGTGTGGGGGTGTTAAACACCGCCCCCCTCCACCGTCATCTAGGCGTTAAATGTTTTGCATCAAACGCTTAACGCAACAAGGCTGCAAATTTGGCCTATCACCCCCCTCCCCCAACCGTCCAAATCAAAACCATTGGGTAATTTTTGTAAAAAATAAATTTTTTAAATATAACCTATTTTTTTTAAAAAAAAATATACAAAAAATATATTTGAATTTCCAGTATAGTTCTTCTAAAATATATTCTATTTGTTTAACTCTCTCTACAAAATACTCCAAAAAAATGAGATCATCTTTATTTGACGATGAAAGAATAGTTCTCATTCTTCGTAATGTAATGACATTTTTAATTTTTATTTATGTTGTTATTATTCAAATCTTATTTGATTAATGTGTTTTTTTCCTTCAAAAAGATGTAATTTTTTAATGTATTTTTTTACTAAATAAATTATTGTCATTTAAATTTAATTATTCAATAAAACCTTATAAATTTAATTATTCAAAGTGTATTACAAATGTAACAAATAAAGGTTTGAAACCCCGGGGCTTCAAACTCATTTCTAGCTGGGAGGTAAGTTAAAGCTAACATGACAGAGAGATAAATTTTGAAGTCTCGGGGCTTCATGAGTATTTCCTTCCAGTGCTCTAAAGTCCACATGTAAAATTACATGTGGACTTTCTCACATCTTTTTCATAGATTCATAGTTGGATCTCTTTATTTACACATAAAACTATTTTATGTGTAAAAGTTCATAAAATGAGTATAGACTTAAAATCATAAAAGAATTTACTATTTTTTCATGATTAATTAGTGCTAGACATTTGGTATGATAATCTTATAGCATTCTCATGCCCCAGTTTTTAATCCGTCAGATATTAATCTCTTTTTTTATTGTTCTGGGAAAAAATCTCAAATTTGCGCAAGAATAGAAAAAGTTAACAAGAATAAACAATGTTTAATGTGTGGGTCATGTGTCTGTAGGCCTTTTCACAATCTAATGTCGTGGATACTTGTGTTTGTGGAATTCACAATAAAGTTAGGGTATGCACCTTTTATAACACTAATTGGTTTTAAAAGAGATGGTAACACATTGAAGTCCTACATAGTGCCTCCGTCCCTGTGAATTTATTTGTATTGTTTGACTTTTTTTGAGTTAAATTTGATGAATTTTGAACTTCAATTAAATAAAAATGGTAAAATATTTTAGTATAAAACTATTTCAATAGATTTTTGTTGAGAACTATTAGATATTTAAATTATTGTATCAATATTCATTACAAATTAAAAAGAAATTGATGATTAAAAATCATCTAATTTGACTCGAAAAAGACAAGCTGAATAAATACACTAAAACAGAGAAAGTAATATTTGATAATTGATATAGTTTGCTTTCTCAATAAACATACTTTAGAACTTAATACTCCGCATTTGTATTTGGAATCCAAAAAAAGTAAATTCTTGAAGGGAATAATTGTAAGACCTCATAAAGTGTTTAGAATTTCCAATTATTTTAAATCAAATACACAATTTTGGTGCACTCTTTCAAAAAAAACTACGGAGTACTATTTAAAGATGTTTTCGCGTGCATAGGCTTGAGGGGCTGGGGAGGAGGAGCAATGATAAAGATGAGTTGGGACTTAAATGACAATAACAGAAGTGATCGCCCATTAGTTACACATAACTTTATTGATGAAATTGTTGTGAATTTCATACATTATTCAAAACTAGTTTTTAACATTTAATAACTCAAAAAATAAACCATTCTTTTCTAGCTACAAAACAAACACATTATTTTATTAGGTCCCCCAACACTGTATGATTTTAAGTGTTCTTTTTTTGCCACTCCCAATTTTGGAGATCATATGTGGATGGTTGAAACACGGTCTACAGACGCGCTCTTGAAGCTGAAGAGGTCGATGCAACGGGAGCGCTCTGCATTTGAAGATGATAAATATTTACGGCTTAGATGGGTAAAAAGTAACAAAAACTTTATAAGTACAATACATAATAGATGATGAAATGTTGTTCTTACCAACGGAATGCCTTTGAGTGCCCTTTCTTCCAAGAAAGGGGAGGGCTTGAAGAAGTTACCATACAGTTCTGACCACTTCTTGAGGCTTTTATATATATGGCCAGCTCCAACGGTATCAGCCCAGAAAACAATTCCGCCTCTGTCATGCCAAAAAAAGATTGGTAAACATAGGGTAAGGTCGACACACACCCACCACCCCCATAGGATCCCACTTGTGGGACCGTACCGGTGTGTTGTTGTTGTTAAGCAGAGATTCAAAAGAAGAGAAGGTATAGTAACCTGTAAGAAGGGAAGCTCATTCCAAGAACAGATGCAACGTCCAGATCCGAGGCTCGGACAACCATCCCTTCATGAAGAACACGGCATGCCTCATTCACTACCGGAAAGAGAACCATCTCAACTATTTCTTGGTCGGTCACAGATATTGCCTATAAATTTTGAGATCATTAGTCAACCGCACGATTCAAACCTACATACAAAAGTTCTAAAAATAGAATGCATCATTGATGCAGTTCTTTTGATGCAATAAAACAAAGCCAGATTGTATGTTCCAAGTATTACTCATTTCATTCTGTTCTTTCGGACACTTAAAAAAATAAGACTTCTTTTCAGTCTGTCATTTTTGAATACCAAAGGGGTGTTTTTTCATCTTCACCATTTCGACCAATGATGTGAGGCAAAAATCCATACCAAACACTTAGACATGATGCTCTTGATGTGTGTGGAAATGAAAAGACTGATAGAATAAAAAGACAAGATGGGAGGTACCTTCCCTCCTGGCATAATATTCATCCGCTTTCTAGACTCTTCTATAACTGGAAGCACAGAAGGATCTGGTTTTGGTTTCATTCCCTTCTGGTAAATGTAGTATCCTTTCCCATTATTTTTGCCTGCATGAGAGAGACACGCATTGAAATTTTAAATAGAACCCACTAATTCTAAATAACTAATCAGAGAAATCAAAGAAAAAATTACCATTTCGACCACTTTTAATGAGGAGATCAATTAAAGGAGACCTAAATATACGGTCAGAAAAAGCAGCATCAAATTGTTTTCCTACAGCAACAGCTACCCCATATCCTGTTAAATCCTGAAGCCTGCAAAAGCAATTTCATATGAGTTTGTTCCACACACAAAGAATGCACCAATAATTACCCTTCGGATAATCATTCAAATAAGATATGTGAATAAAAGCACTTTGTATAACTTAAGACATCATGCAAGCTTGCAAGTACACTAATTACTCCCTTTGTTCCAAAAAAAAGTCGTGTTCCAAAATCTTGTCCCAAAATAGTCGCATTCCAACAAAAGAAACTAAATTTCAGTTAATTTAATCAAATATTTCCAACAAAAATACTGTGCCAATAAAAATATAAGATAAATAATTTACAATAATTGCACCTTACCAAAATTAAATGGGTGCACATTAATAAAACATTACCGAGTACTTTTTTAAAACAAAATGGAATATTAAGCATTTCCTAACAAGACGCTAAGAAAATAATGTATGCCAAAGCTTCAAATCTGTCTGCTTGCAAAAACAGAGCTAGTATAACCTATATAGCGTCCGAGATCCAATGGAGGGATTAAAGAAATTAAAATGTAGCCAATCAGCATATAAAGGAAACTAGGAAAGGGAATTACTGGAAAGGGCCCATAGGAAGGCCAAAGTTTGTAATCTGGGCATCAATCCTGAAGGCATCAACTCCAAGATGCACGAGAAGATGTGCTCCTTGGGCATATGGGAAGAAGGTCCTGTTTACAGCAAAACCAGTACAGTTCCCCACCACAACAGGTACTTTCTTTATTGCTTTACCAACAGCCATAAGGTCAACAATTGTTTGAGCTGAAGTCTTCTCTGTCCGAACTATCTCCAGCAAAGGCATAACATGAGCAGGACTGAACATAAGAGAAACAAGGCACGAGACAGATAGGTTATGCATGTTGAATAAGTAAAATTTTCTTGTAATCAAACTACGAGTGAGGATAGGTGTGAACCTGAAAAAATGAGCACCTATAACCCTATCTTGAGATCTGGTCTTCTCACCAATTACGTTAAGGTCTATAGTAGATGTGTTAGATGCCAGTATACAATTAGGAGGGCATGCCTTCTCAATATCAATGAAAATCTTTTGCTTTAGAGGAACATTTTCAATTACAGCCTGCAATCAAGAGGTAACTCATTCAACATGTGTAACAGCGCTGGGTGTATTTCAAAACTTGAATAAATATTAAACATGATAAAAAAAAAGGGGTAATGAAAATCATCCTAAACACCATTTTACCAATACAAAAACACAATCAGAAATTCAACTCTGTACCTCAATAACCATATCAACATCCTTAAACTCCGAGTAGTCCAATACACCTTTAAGTAATGAAAGGGCTTTTTCAGCTTGATTTTGAGATAACTTTTTCCTTGATACCAAAATTCGGACATTTTCTGCCACATCGAGAGCAAAAATATAAGAGACTAACGATACAAGAATAGTTTTCTATTTCTGAGGATATTAAGCTTTCATTTCCTTGGTAGTCCAACATACTCGAGGCATTCAATGCCCCATAACAAAAAATACTTCATCAGCGTACCTTCTATTGATTTTATCCCTTTTTGAAGATATTCGGCATTAATTTCCTTGAGAAGAACATACTTGTTGCTCAGAATAAGAGCTGTAGCTATCCCAGAGCCCATTAAACCTCCACCAATTACAG